TTTCCCCCCCCCCCCCTTCAGGCTTGTGAAAGGTCCCAGCCCCCCCCCCCCCCCCCGCACCCCGAAAAACATTTCCTAGATACGCCCCTGGTCACAATTACAACCTGAATACTAATAAACATCTAGAAGTGGCCACAGTCTATAATTCTATGGTTCTTTTTTTTTTGGATTATATGGATGCCAAATGTTAATTCTGAAAAGTGATACAGAGAACTGACATTGAGCACTTAGTACGTTAAGTACATAATTAGAAGCCCGTTTCCTTTTAAAGATTACATATCAATAATCAGATCGAGGTATTCAGTTCTGGGCACTGTTGTCACACCCCTTATTAACTAATGTATTAAAATTTTTATTGACGAGAAAAAACCTTTAGCCACTCTGGCCACTCCCCGTATTCTCCGTCCCACACGAAGATGAGACAGTCCTAATGGTCGTGTATCGGTAACTAGTAGCGGAAGTCTGGTATTGTTAATGGTGGCCAGTTAACGCGCTAATATTCACATCACGTTCAATACAGTTGTCAATATCACTAGATATAAAGGTGTTTATGTCTTCTGTTTATTGGTTAATTGTTTAGAATTCCCCCGATTGCCACAGAATAATGATAATTGGATATAACTGTTTGTTACTACATTGACACTAAATATTGAGTTATAATAAAGATATTAGAAATTAATAATCCGAACATGGAACGAAACTAACACCCTGGGACACCAGGATAGCGTCATCTAGGGTGTTAAACTGTTTTAACACATTATCAACAGGACATTTAATTCTCACGTGAAATCGCAGGTCAAAGTGTTAATGTATCTGTGTCCAATTTCCGTTGTTCAACCAAATTTCTGCACAACGTCGCATTACATTATAATTATGTTTAGGTCCTATAATATATAGGCGCCTATAGATATTTTATATTGTTTAACGTAATAACGACTTTATTTGGTCCAAATATGACACAGAACGAGACAGTACTTTCTAAGTTTCCCACATTACACGCTACATGCCTTTCCAGTCTTCGTAAACCACAAGAGGTACAAAGGGATTGTGTTACCCTGAAACTTTTCATTTTTAATCCGGTGATGGGAGATTACTCTGGATTTATAGTTTTTTTCTTAGACTACAAGTGAAAAGAAAAACGAAAGAAGTTTTACGTCCTTCTTTTCTGGTAGTTTCCGCACATCTGAATCACCGTTGTCTATGATATAAAAAGCTATTCAGAAATGGACGAGAGTTAAAGAATGTATAGAAAACGATTGCATATAGGGTTTTTAATTTTAACAAAACATTTAGAATTCTCTAAAATATAAACTTTAATAATATATTAAAGTAATAACAATAATAAAATGTTTTCACTGTTACAAAATAAAAAAAAAGTAATTTCAATAATAGCGATAGAAAGAGTATTAATTTTAGTCAATATTATTGAAAGAACTAAATATTTAATTCATCGTGAGGAGAAAAATGCATTACTTGGAAATATCCCGCCACAATGATAACAGCCCTGTGTCTACAGACTTGCACAACACTAGCTCAGTATGGTATAGCAGAATGTATCAAAAAATATAGTCTTCTCAAAGGTTTACGACCCTCTGGAGTAATTCCAACCAGCTGATACCCGTTAGTAATTCTTATTCAAACCAGCTGATATTTCTAAGTAATTTGACTTATAAGTATAAGTTTGCAAAATGAAAGAGTTGAAGATTAACTATTGCTACCGGTAATAGTATTCCTGAAATACCAGGTAAGTCTGGGTCCAAATTCAATAAATCTTTTCAGTGTTGCAGTATGATTGGTCTTGGTAAAATAGGATGCCATAGGTCAAATGCAAAATAACTTTGAACTTGAAGTAAAGAAGAGATATGTAAGATCTATAATGAGTCACCAACAAAAACAATCAACAACAGCAGACAAAAACCACCAACAAATTAAAACTGCTTCAAATATTGCATGATTCTCTAGAATCCTTAATTGTCACTCCGAGATAGTACCCACTAACTTCGCTTCTCTTTCAATTTCGGAGAGTCTGTCTTTTGGATATTTCCATTTTCACTTGATGGAAAAACCGTGACCGAGTTTGTCGCCTACCTCTAGTGTATATGTCGATGTTCCTAAATAAAAGCCCTGTCCCGATACTTCTACGTTCACAGCTTTGCGTCCGCCACTGGTAGTGTCTCGAACTATTTTACTGGAGAACGACGAACCTGTTTTCGAGCTCTGAAAGTATCTAGATTGATTCAGTCCAATTAAACCTTTATGATAAAGTAAGGCCATCCTCGCTGTTGTTCCGGACCCACATGGCGACCTGTCAACCTGTAAATAAAATGTAAACATTTAAATATGTGGACGGTGTTGCTTGAATAAGGTCTTCAATTTGGACCAATTACCCAGTAGATGACGTCTATAATTTCAAACAACCTACCTGGCGATCAGCGAAGACACAGAGATTGATGGACGTGGCTTTAATGTTTGAATCCCGTCCGTCTGTTAAAATGGTTCCATAAATAAACGCCTGTTCCTTACTCTCTGGAAATTCTATTTTGATATGTTCTTTAGCAACATCTATAAGGGAAACAATCAATGTAATTACGAAAAAATTCATGGTCTTGGACTTGGGCTGGGTTCAGCCCCTTCCCTCCACCAATATCAAAAAAGAAAATTTTCATTAGCTAGTATTTTGCTGTAAGCGAGCATTCTTGAATATCTAGATATAATTCAACCCCAAAACGGAATGTTTGACTACTGCAGCTGATGTTTTCATTTTTGAATTAGCAATGCGGTACGAGCGCTCACTGTACCGGAGCAATGACAGAAAAAATATCATAACCAATGTGTACATACCTGTAATGTCACCAGCAACTTGAACCAGATCTTTCAATTTAGTCTTCCTAACGTCTAACCCCAGTTTCTCTGCCGAGATAAAAACATAAAATCCTCCTCCATAGCTGATATCTACCTTGAGAGTACCAAATTTTTTCATCGGAAGTTCCACATCTGTGAGAAAAAAGCGATTGGGGTTTAAGGATGTTTTCTAGCCAAATTTGCACTTAATTGCTTGCAGTTCTGCCGTTGTGATTTCCGGTACGACGCGTGGACTAGACTTTTGAAAACTTAAAGGGGATCAAGGGATATTTCAACACTATGTAGTTGTAATTGCACCGTACGAGAAATTTACGACTTTTCGGTTTTTGAAAGTTTGGAAGACTTCTGTGTGAAGAGAATTGCTCAGACCGAGAAAAATTGACAGAATGGCAACTGTATGATCGACAACGTGTTCAAAAGAAAGGAAAACACTACGACGATAACGCAGCAATAGCATTTGTTAAGGGGCCAGAGTGCTCAGGTCGTTCAAATCCAGAGACTAGAGAAATCAAGTTGCCATTAGTACTATTCAAGTTACTGTTGCCTTCAAATTCTCACTGTTGAGGCTATAAGCTATAAGATTCACCTTTAGCTGTTTATTTTTTCTTATCGCAAAGAGATCTCATATGTATGTAAAGGGGGTTAAAGTAAAAGATGTATACCTGTAGCATATACAAAAGCAGGAACGCTTATAAATCTGGTGGCACCAGTTTTAGTTCCATCATATTTGACGTAAGCTGATACCATTCCACACGGACATTGGATGTCAACTTTGGTTTCTGGAGATTTCAATGTCTTAACATAGCCATGGTCCACTGCATACCTAGCCATTGATATCACCGCATGGCCACACATAGTACTGTAACCACTGTTATCCATGAACAGTACGGCGATATCGGCGTTCGGTAGGGTCGGAGGTACAATAATGACGCCGTACATATCGTGATGTCCCCTTGGTTCAAGTATTAGAGCTTTACGGAAATGATCTAAATGCTCTCTTACATAATTTCGATGCTCCAACAGAGTTTCAAATTTTCTTTTTGGGAAACCAGATAACAGAATTCTAACTGGACCCCCACCGGTGTGCATTTCTACTGTTTTGACATACATCGACTCCTGAAATAATGTCATTGTGAAGGTTTTGGTTCTAATCTGGAAAAATAAAATACAAATCTATAAATAGGCCCTACAAACTGTAATTTTACCAGTGCACAAGTTCTTACATCTTCACAATGTCAAGCTATTACAAATCTCGTCTTATGCCTTGACTGCAATGTTGTGTGACCATAAACGTCATTGCCTAATCACCAAAACATTAGGCGTAATAATTTTAAGCAATAACATCGTTATTCATTGTATCAAATAGACGGTCTCCAAATGAATGTAAACAATCATGTCGGTAGTCCCAGACGTTGAAACGTAAAGAAATGGGCCTTACTTTAATTCATAGGCTACTAAAACTTCGTATCAAAATTAGAATGTCTTGAAAACGTAAATATAAGCAATAAACTGGTACCCTAAAGCGCATTTATTAAATTTTCCAGCCAACCTTTGTCCTGATTGCTTAAGTAATAAAGTTATTTAAAATGCACGACGTCAAGTCCTAAATTCCAGTCAGTCTTGTGTAATTCCTAGTACGCAATACGTGACGTCATCAAACGCTTAATTTTAGTGGAATGACAGGATTCACGTCTGAGTAAAAATTGGAAAGGTGCCAATTGATGCTATCACTGTCCCCGATTAACATACATCTTTAGAAAACCCCTTTACAATCTATTTAATGCCTTTTATGTTTTTTTTTTTAAACCCGCATCCCGAAGGATTTCCCCAGAGAAAGGGCTTTAAATAACAATAATCCGAATTAGATCTCGGCTTAAATTCTTTAACAAAAATCTTAGACAATTCTGTACCGTACAAATATGTAATGGCACACTGCTTTCGGTTTGTTTACGATTGCAAACAAAGCGTCATAGCGGGTGATTTGTTTTGATTGCCTGAAATTTGCTACCATTACAGTGGGGCCAATTTTGATTGGACAATATTTAGCTATGAATACGCAATTCTTCTCACTTGTGTTACCACGGCCCCGAGGAAGTATGACGCATTTTCATTTTCATAAATGAAAATAAGGGAACCCATCTTTAATATATTTTAAATAGTAATGACAATTTGAAACTAACAGCTCTTATCCACTGTCCAAAAAGGGGTTGGGCGTCATTTTTTCGAAATATTCTCAAAATATGGCCAGAAGACCTATGCTGATACATGGTCGGGGAAATAAGAATGAACACGGCATAATTCAAAAATTAAAAAAAAATCAAAATATCCAACATAATGTGGGCCCTGTATCACAAATTAAAAGTAAGAAAAAATCCAGTTAAAAACAAAGAGTATTTCCTTTGGTTAAGAAAACAATTTTACTTTGTGACATGATTGAAACGCCCACCTTGCCCTGACCACACCACCTTTTCACCTTCCTTCTTAAGATAAAATGATGACTTGAAAAGAGTGAAAAAGTAAAATGTAAAAAAAATCAAATGACCTTACCGTATCGGCTGCCGTGGCTATGGTTGTTCGTCATCCATAAAGACATGAAGGAGGAAATTCACCTCTTTTATACGCTTGACTAATTTTATTTTTGAAAATTTTCCATTCTGATGCCAAATATATCACGCAATTGCTGGCTGATTCGTGGGGAAATTTTGAAAAAAATAATTGCTAAGGTCGTGAGATATAGGTGGTTATTAATGTATATAGATTTTATATCGACGTAATATACCAACTGGTCCATTTTGATATCACGTGGTTTATTACTATTGCGCATATCATATATAATAGATTATGAGTGCAGTTCTAAAAATTTCCCTTGAAGATGGGCGGGATTCATTCGTGGCTCAAAAATTAGCACCAATATACGTCCCTAGTCAAGATAATTTGCATCCAGCAAACCACGACAGTTTCCGTAAGGCTGAATCTGTCTCGGTAATGAATGGTAAATTTCTTTGTGTCTTCTTGGGCGAGACTATTTACTTCCGGTATTTAACAGTGATAGTAACATAGCGATATAAATACAGTCCCTAACTTCAAAGCCCTCAGCGGATAATGCTGACGCTTACTCTTGCATTTAATATTTTATTGTGAACATCGGTTTACCAATGATACATTATATCATCATTTTGAATCTGTATCATGCGGAGTTTTTGTTTTTATTTCCCTTATATACAAATACTCTTCGTCCCGAACGACCAGCCGCTGGTATTTAAATTTCCAAAATCACATAATCACGTAACAATATTGACTCAGTACCGGTAAATAATGTCCGCCATTCCCTACCGTGACATGTTGCAGAGCGCTAGCAGAACTTTAAGGTAGGCGGTTTGGTTAATTTGCAGCGATCGTTAACGTTTTATCAAAACAATTTGTACCAAGGTTAGATAGTTGTCAACCTTTGACCTATTCGCCTTCAATAAATACAGATCGGTCATTGACCTATTCATACTCCTTTTTTTCTTTCATCGTTCGATAGAGTTTATATGTGTTGTAACTGAAATTAGATTACAATTTCGTTATCATTTTTTTCGATTATCAAAAGTAATAACGAAATTGTAATCTAATTTAAATAGATTGGCCCCTGTCAGCAGTGGCCCAACTAGATAAATGAGGCCAGTGGACTGAAGTGGTTTGGGCTCCCTCCTCTCTTATGCACCCCCTGCATTATGTGTTATGTAAGAACGATTAATCCCCCTCCTATCAGCGACTGGCTCCGATTGAGATAACAAAAAGTGTAGTACAGGTGATTCACTATTGTTCGCCCCACCCAAAAGTTTTGACGGTGTTTCGTCACTTCGGAATTGGACATAAAGAAATAACCAACTAGTGTGATACTTTTATTACTGAAAGCTTGATCATTTAATTGACACCTGAAAAATTCAAAATGATTCAAAGTTCAATGAAATATTTATAAAACAAAATTTTTAATAAATTAATGCCAATCTGTTCATTTCATTGGCGTAGGTAGACCATACAGTAGTGAACGACGAAGGGCGTGGATGTATGGGGAACTGAAATGAACCGCCATCCTCTCCTCCTTCAAAGACACAGATTTTTTTCGGTCAGGTGGTCAAAATAATTTGTTATAAAAATTATGTCTGTATCAAATCAGATATCTAAGCGTATGAAGAACAAAGAACAATAAACCGTTCTTATGTCTACTACGTCACGTCACGTGTTCTGTTTTGAGGCGAAATTTGTCACGTTATCACACCTGAAACAACCGTAATACGAACATATCGTATAAAGGGACGCAACTCTTACTGAGATGATAACTGTGTTCTGTAGCCTACTATTGGAATTCACAGCTCTGACTGACTTGTTATCTTAAGGTTTGCTGCACTATATCATTATATCAATTTCAGCTTTCGGTAGTGCTTTTCATAATAAAAATCCGGCGTTTTGTTATCAATAATAGATAGCTGCTTAGTTTCCCGTTAAAGAATGCTAAAATTCTTCATCTCAGTCGTATTGGGAGCATATTTTTGTCCATTTGATCAACTAACCATCGCGCGTTACAATCACATAGATAGTATCATCGGATCAACGGAAAAATATCTAGAAACAAAGCGAATGCTTCTAAGAATTTTCAGAAATATGAAAAATGGGATCAAGAAGTCTATCTTCGTACCTGGGAAATTGCACTGACAAATTTCACATCCATCGGGTCCTCGTTTGTATCCCCATGGTCGACAATTCATCCTACATCTTACTGGGGAACAGTCCGAAAAATCTGGAATAGTCACATGAGTTACATGAATATTCAATCTATTTCTATTTATTACTATATATTTTTAAAATAGTTTTTTAATTACTCAAATATATATTTAACTGGAAAAAAGGAAATGCACGTCAAATAAAAAGCAGCAATATCCAGAATTTTCATTATTAGAGAGGTTGTAAATTGAAATTACTTGAAAGTAATTCTTAAATATGTAATTTACTTCATATATACCCTTGATCAACATTTTCATGGCAATGGAAAGGGAGATAACTCTTTATTTTAGTCACGAATTCGACACAATGCCAACAATTATATTCCACAAAAAAGCGCAGAAGAGCATTGAACACTTCGTAAAAGATGACCATCTTCATAATTAGAATTAGAATATTAAGACGTACAACTCGAAGTTGAAAAGTAATTCAGTAAAAACATAAAACTTTACCTTTACATTGGCAAGATGGGCATCCATTAGCTTTGATTTTTCTACCAAATGGACAATAATTCATGCACATCATTTCAGGGCAACCTGGAAACGAAATACAGTTTCTGAAGTTTATACTGGTAAAAAGGAAGGGGGTTATGACTAGAAATAAGAAGTCATGATGGTCTGCTTTTTTACCATTCTAAAGCCTGTGTCATCATCATTCATTACAACTGATATAGTAACACTAAGATGTTGTCTCTTATATCTATTACAGCCAAACTCATCCTCAGAAACCAAATTGTCATTGCCATCATCACATCTACACACTTGGACCCAACCAGAAATGTTTAATATGGAAAGCTTTGACTGTCTCAAAAAAGCCAGATTTTTTCTTCCCCTCCGCCTAAAAGTCTGGCGAATGCTGTCAGAGGTATGGTAAAAAAAGAGGCACGTTATTTCCCAAAAGAGACTATACGAAACTATACATACAGTCACAGGTATCGCAACCTTGAGCGTCCTTTATTCGACCAGTATAACACAGCCTCGTTTGGCAGGCTCTGACGGGACAATCCCCTTGAGCGTCCACATAGGCTGAAATATAAAACAAAATGTTACGTCAGATTGCACTGAAAATTCTCTTGGGCGTCCACATTGACTGAAATATAGAACTAATTGTTATATAAAATACATAGACAGCTCTCTTGAGCGTCTGTAGATCTGAAAAATACAACGAACCGTTAAATTATGTTACACAAATCATCCTCTAGAGCGTCCACAAAAACACTAATCGAGAATAACATACAGGTAGACCACGCTTTTGAAGTAAAAACTGCATAAAACGGCATTGGTGTGTGACTTATAACATTGTTGTAACACCACTATCTTAATTGCTGAAATTGCTTTACAATTCACAGTTTAAAGTGTTGCAATGACCGTGTACGACAAATTACAGGATATATTTAAAATATTTCTATCATAGCCATAATGAAGAGTTGAATACAAAGCTATTGCAAAAACAATTTAAAAATCGGACTGTTTATTAAAAATTACAACCAAATAATGTTAAAAAAAACAAGGATTACTGTCTCTAGGGACGTATCTAGAAAATGCCCGAGATTTGTTTAGATGGGGTTGGGATATGGCCCAATGTACACAATTTTTTATATTGTCCTGCACGTTTAGATCAACTGGCACCAATCTAATATAAAACGAAAAAAAAGTTTAATTATACATTCCGACCATATAAGAAAAATGTCATTGATGAAAAATAAACAAAGGTACTCACCGGCCACAACTACTACAGCGAAAATAATCAGGAATTTCATCGTGAAGATATATACGGTTCTGACTGAATTAATCTTTAGAATTCGAGATTATGAAGTTCTGTATGAATCAGAGCTGCTTATATACTAAAAGCAAAACACTAGCCTAGTAAGTCAAGTATCCGGATTTTCCGATTTGAATGAAATTGAAGAGGATTCGTCCTGTTGATAATTTGTTGATTTCCTGATTGGTCATCATTTTACCATAAAGATTAGCTCAATTTTCCCACAACAACAGATAGAATATTTATGATTTAGTGTTGTAAAATCATTATAAATGCTTCTCTTTAGGAAACAATTAGGCCTACATTTCCCTCGTGAAATTTTTTAAAGTTTAGAACCTTTGTTATATTCTGTTATTTGAAAACCACCGTTCGTTCACGTAGACATGGACCACAAACCCGATATTTGTACTTGTTTAAAGGGTGAACGAGTCTAGAGCGTACACAACAAATTATCGAACCCTTATCATCATGTAGGCCAAACCCGAACTAATTTGACCTCAAATGGCAATTTTCTATAGTCAGATAGGACTAAACAAAAGTGGCCAACTTGTGTGGGTAAATCGAATTTTAATGATTATATTTGAATTACAGTGATAAAAATATATTATTTTGTAAGGTATTATTCAAATTTTCAATACATTTCCCTCCTTAAAATTCAATCCATAAAATGTCGCCAAATTTCGACTGAAGATGTAAATTGTACCTACATTTATAAGCTGGTATTCCAATTCTCATGGGAGCCGCGGTGGCTCAGTGAGTTAGACGCTTGCTCACTAACCTGAAGGTCCAGGGTTCAATCCCGGCATAGGTCGAGATAATACCTTCGGACTTTTCAACCCGGTTTCCCCCTGTCAGTGATGCAGGTACGGGGGGCTGACATGGAAAAAGCGTCTAGTCGTTCGGTTGGGACAATAAACCGAGGCCCCGTGTGCTACAGGCTGTGCACGTTAAAGATCCCTCGACAGTTGGAAATCTAAAAAGAGCAGGCTAATGCCGCTGTCCTGGCAAAATTTCCCTCATTGCACCCTGCATGGCGTTGCCCGTCTTTTTATTAGCCCACATGGTGCAGAAAAGTAGGACGTAAATCTCCATTCATTTCATTTCATTTCCAATTCTCATAAAAGAATTCGAAAAATTCGACTTAGACCAAGATGGTGTGAAGACATAGTAACTGACGGATTGGCAGTTTTTTCTGATGAAAAATAAAGGAATAATGAAATAGATTTAATCATTTATTCATATAACAATAAATAGGTCCGATACAATGTTCAAAACAATTTTATCATTTAGTTCTGCTCATTGACTTCAACACGTTCCTGGCAAAATTTCCCTCAGTGTACACTACATGGCGTTGTCCGTCTAAATTAGCCCACATGGTGCAGAAAAATTTCATTTCATTTAATTTCTTTGTCACGTGACCCTTAAGTCCTAAATCGGCAATGACGCCATCTTCTGACTAGATTCAAAGCAGTAACTGCGAAAAATTCAAAACAATATACACTCTACTTTGTTCATGATTTTTATGCCATGCCGCCACACGCATATTCCTCATGTAGATTTAACATTCTTATGGGTTACCACTGGTATGTTAAAGATCACACTACCAGTTTACAAATATGAGATTTCTTCTTGCTGGACACTAGCATTGGCTATTGGTCATGCAGACTTACAAAGCTCTTGGTCCTGGAAATTAACAGAATTCTTAGTCCTGGATATTAACAAAGCTCTTAAGCTTGGCTACTTAAAAAGCTCTTGGTCATGGAAACTTAAAAACTATTGGTGGATTATTATAACAAACGTCTTGGTCCTTGACATTTACAGAATTTTTTGACCTGGTTATTAATAAACTCTTGGGTCAATAGCTCTTGGTATTAATAAAACATTTACAAAGCTCTTGGTCATAGACCTTACATAGCAATTGGTCATGGAACTTGCAAAGCTCTTGGTCTTGTAGATTTTTAACAAGTTTTTTTAGTCCCGGGCATTTACACAGCTTTTGGTCTTGAAACTAGATATCAACAAAGCACTTAGTTCTTACATTAAATCAGATCTTAATGCTCGATGCTAAAACAATCTCTTGGTCCTGGACTCCTACAAAATCTCTTCGTCCAGGACATTTACTAAGTTCTGGGCCAAGGACACTTGAATGAACACGAAGCTCTTTGTTCTGGATATTTACAAAGCTCTTAGTACTGATTAATAAAAAAAGCTCTTAGTACTGATTAATAAAAAAAGCTCTTGGTACTGATTAATAAAAAAAGCTCTTGGTACTGATTAATAAAAAAAGCTTTTGGTAATTTGTATTACCTAAGATCTTAATCCAGGATATTAAGAATGCCCATGGATCAAAACATTTACAAAGCTCTTGGTCCTCAACCTTTCAAAGCTCTTGGTCCTAGACAAAAAAAAATGCTCTTGGTCGTAGACATAAAAAATGCTCTTGGTCGTAGATATTAGCAAGGTTCTTGGTCCTGGACATTCACAAAGCTATTTGTCTTGGACACTTACAAAACTCTTGGTCCTGAGTATTCAAAGCTCTTTGTTCTGAATATTAACAAAGTTCTTGATCTTCATAACAGACATGTACAAAGCTCTTGGTCTAGGACACTCTAAATCATAGACATGTAGGCCTTGGAACTGGCTATAAACAAAGCTGTTGGCCCTTGTCTTAGACACGCGCAGAGCTCTTAAACCTTACAGAGCTCTAGATCTAAGTTACTTGCAAAACTTCACAAAGCTCTTGGTATTGATCATTTACAAAGCTCGTGGACATTTATAGAATTCTGAATATATTTTAAAAGGTTTTGGTCTTAATGCTTTTAGAATCTTTCAGTGGATGAAATTTACATAGCTCTTGGTCCTTAAAACTCCTGGACATTCCGAAGGCTTTTTGTTGAGATCAGCTCACAATTTAAAGGCTACATTTGGATATACCTTGAACTGGATACATGATCTATATATAGGAATATAATTGGCAGGATATAAGTCTTAAATGTTTTAGGGTAAATACAACTTAAACTAGTACCATTAAGACGAGTCTCTAAGTTCACATTCTTTATGAGTCTGGGCAGGGGCGGTAACTATCACTGACTGTAGCGTGAACATAGTGTTTTTATTTCCGGTCACGGGGATATAGGGATGGATAATTGGGATACTGTAACGACAAAAACACGGGCTCGAATTTTCAAAATCCACTATTGTTCGTCGCGGTATTTCACAATTTCCGCCATCGGCACCTGATTTTGGACAACTGACACGAAGCATATCATTGGCTAATGTTTTGCGACATATACAATATGGTTGTTGGTTGTAAACGTTGTTAGATTTCCAATATGGATCACAATAACTCATGTCGAAATTACACTGATCAAACTTACTGCAACTTTGTTTCTCAGTTTGGGCTAAATCTTTACATTTTCTGAAATAGAGAAAGATCAAGACATGTTCTCTACATTGATTGGAATACAATTACAAAGTTGGAGTATGCGCCCATTTACTATAAACAGTCAACAGGACAACAGTTGGTCACCTTCTACAATGCAATTTAGATTTCCGGGATGGCTTTGTGTTACTATACACAGACAACATTGGATCACCCTCTAGATTTTAGAATACAACTAGAGGCAATAGTTGATGACAAGAATAAAACTCTGAGTTAGGTGATGTCTGGTGAATCTTTGACATATAACAGTACATCAACGGAGCACATTCTAGAAAATAACCTTAGAATTGGTTCATGTTTCTATAAACAGACAATTATTGTAACCTACAACAGAGAATCACGGGTAATAACTGACATGCCGGAAAGATCGAATATAGAGAAACTAATACATGAAATACTTACGGACATTGTAAGGAACACGGTGATGTGTTATTGTCGATCGTTGTAGAAATGGTGCATTCAGATTCTGAAATTAACCAAACCAAAGATTAAATTTTCGTTTTACAATTCAGAATAATACATGAGCGTTATCGGTTTGGGGTCATAAGAGTGGAAGAAAGTAGATAGCTGCTGTCACAATATTAAAGTTGTTGTGAAACCCAGTGGCGGACCCCCCTCGCAGCCCTGAAAGCAAGTTTTTGGGGCAAAAATCTGAAATATAGGTTAGAAATTCGTGAAATCTCAGATATACAGCCAAAAATAGACCTCGATTACATTACAGTCTTTCTCCGATTGGCTATATTCGCTAGCGTACAATCCAAACAAATCGCTGCAATCAGTTGTTCTTTCGCCCACGATTTTTGTCTGGAGATCTCCTTCAACACCAGTAAGAATTCAGTGACTTACTCTTCTCCTTCCACTGTATCATATGATGACTGGGTATATATGAACACGAACCATTAATAACTGAGGCTATGAGAGGCGAGGCTTTATATATTGTGCCTATTTCATCTACATTTAAATCTGTGGTCCTACCATTGCTCACAGCAGAGTGGTCTCCCGTTGTCTACAAAAGAAGGATATATTAAAGACTAGCAAATCCCCAATCATAACAAAAGCACTAGCCTTAAATACACCCACATGACAGTCAACTCTAATAAAAGCTGGTAGTGTCAGCACATTTTCTCATAAAAAGTGGAAGTTGTCGTTCCTTGCAGTCACATTATTACATTGGTGAGGGAATCCTATTATAGTGAAATGTTTCGGGCACACTAGCAGTCATGGTCGACGATTTTTATCGTCGACTCGAATTTTTAGTAAAATCTCGCGTGTGCTCGCTCTTCCACGACACTTCCACAATTGCATGATCTGCACGTGATTATCGACATAGTGGAAAACGACCGACCGAGATTGTGTCTCATCGTGTTCCAGAAGCCAGTCGGTGAAACTCTTAGCAAGATTTCAGTCGGCGACCCAGACCGATCGTGTACATGCATCTTAAGACCAAGTATTGTATACGTACCAACTGACTGGAACTTAAAAATGAGCCAGTAAAATCACTATCAAATTTACTTTCATGACAAAACAGCATGGTGGACTCCACTACATCCCCTCTTTCATGTTCCTTTCTCATGCCCACAAATACCTGACTCTTCTATAAAACAAAATAATGAAAATTCTATTTCAAAAAAATAACCTGTGGGCGATGTAAACAGAGTAGTGGGCCTTCGGGAGGTTGAAATTCTCGAAAAGGTAGTAATCCGAAATATCTGCTTCTATTTCATTCTCGAATATTTAATTTATAGCTATCTGAGGCTGGAATAGAGACAGATTGACTAGAAAAAGTTGGCTGGTCCATCAAATAAAATAATGAGAATAATTGTAGGAATTTAAAACTGTCAGAATAACTTAACATTGTTAACCATGTGGATTTGCAGAAAGGTATCAATATTGCCGAGAAAGCCTTCGTGAGATGAGCATCTTCGTGCTGGAAGATTGGGAAAGTTGTACGTAAAATATATTGAACATTATTTTGCTTTGAAATAATTGATTTATGTGGCATTAAGTAATCTATCAAGTCGTTAGATCCTATTGCTATCCGTTTATCTCACAATGATGGACATTTTCACATCTTTCCCTATTCTATAGTTAAAGGGGCAGTGTATAAAAGGTTACATATATATAGATTTTTGTAGTTTTAGTTAATTTGAGAATCTAAATTTTCCGACCTACTAAAAAATTGAGAATGTTCCTTTCATGATATGATATTATGATGGTGGTATGGGGAATTGCCTTATTGGGCCCAAAAGTACACACTATAGGGTGAAAGCTCAATTTAATATCATTAGCCTAATAAAGTACAGAAAAACAATACGGAAAACTCCATTAACACCGTGTTAGTTATACACCAAGCCTATACATGTATATATATCTAAATGATCTAAAGACGGGAATACAGTGAAAGTAATTTAGTTTAAATGTTAACTATGAGAATGTTGCTATATACAATATTTGTTTGGTATTTTACATACTGATGAGAAGATTTACTTCTAGGATCGGCTAGTAACAAGTCTCCTTCAATCTAGAGATTTTTTCAATGAATATAAATGAAATGGAGTTTTACGTCCTACTTTTCTGCTCTCTGCTGTGCTTTTATTCGTATTCGGTAGATTCAAAGCTGAAATAGAGTACCAAGCCTTACGGTCTGAAAGCCGTCGAGATTGTGCAGCGTAAAAGTGATGTGCTAAATACGGCTCAAGTACAAAACTGATTTTAAACCAGTATTTGTTTGAAAAAAAAAACCCACAGAATTTACATAATTCATGGTGTAGTCATTAAGCGTGAGGTGAATATGGCGCCATGTTCTATTTCTGTGTCTTATATTACTAACTTGTCATTTACCCTATTGTTAATATAATTAGCCATACATATTTTAAGGTATATGCAATATGGACTCTCTGAACACGATGTCGGGTTGACAAGCCCAAGTACCCATATATAACATTTCCTGTTCCGCGGACTATCTAAACCTGACCAGAATAGTGCGTTCCCCTGTCACCCTATTTATAACATAGATAAAATCGTTGGTAAAAGTTCAGACCCTGTAGTGCATGAGTAAAGAGTAAAGGCACCTCCGTTCACTATCTACAACCATGATAACTGGTCGACTGAGGATCTCCAATTGGTCATTTTCTCACCCTCTCCCCTTTATTTTGGGCTAGGGGTCATTTACTCCCATTTTTACACCACGTCTCTCTATTGTTTTATTTGTGATTATGCTATCATACAAACCTGTTGAAAATTAACCACAACGTAAATATTTTTAAAATCTTCATCAATCTGCATGATATAAGCTTGGTGTTCGTCATCAACTGCCAGAATCTGGTGGAAGGATGGACTCTCTAGTGATCCCATTCGGAGAAGATATTGACTTGGTATGTCCAGGCCTTCCAGTTTACCGGAAGTAGTTCCAGTTCCACTACCATTCTATAAATAAAACAATCAATGATTTTGGATGAAATTGCTCTTGCTTATCGTTTGGAAGTTGGGGTACTTGTCGATCGAATTTAACGACTTGGGAAATTTAGTACACAACAGACATCAGGTGGGGCATTATTGGCAACATTACCAGTGTGAAGACACATCAATAGTTTTTTTTCTTCTATTGACTATTATTGTTTGTAAATCTTGTTTAATTCCCTTTAAAGAAATCCTCAGTATTTGTAAACAAACTGGACAAAGGTTTCTTAACTATCAAATCGTTTTTACAAGGCTACAATGATGCGGTTATCAAGACGTCATTTTGAAAAGAGTCGAGGGAGAAATATTTTGTGATTAACCCAGAAGATGAACCCACTGTTTACCAAGTCTAGTTGTAATGATGAAACAGTAACTGTATTTAGTACAAAATGTCAGGCAATGCGTTATGAGTTGTTTATCTTGACTCATTCTAATTATTTGTTTAGGTCGTATGATTTTTTTCTACTAATGAAAACGGTTTGCTGAATTTAAAATCGTCTGTTTGTATATATCTAAAATTTCAGAGAGTACAGTTTAAATGACCGATATTACCCACAATTCAAAAGGTATATTTTGAAACATCTATATCATAGTCATAATAAATACTTGGAAATAGAGCTATAGTAGACTTATAGGAGAGAAATTTGAAGATCGGACTACAAAGATTCATAAAACAAAGATTATTCTAGAATCCTACCCAACAACAACATGGTACATGGTGTACCTGACAGACCTTATGGAAAAGTTTTTTTTACAATGAACGTGGGTATGATATCCACATGGATTGTACGGTTAACTTAATTTAGAAAGATTCCAAAAGGTTGTTAACAGGATCTTAATCCAAAAAAAAAACAAAATTGACTGTAGCCTTCATACACACAGTTATTGTAAAACATCGAGGGAGAACAAATTTAGTAACATTTTCTGTTTTTATGAAGCTGGCTCTCTGATAATGGCGAAACCGACTTTCAGATCCTTCTGATAAATCTACACCATTGTCATAGATGTTCCCTCTTTTTTGGCAAAGAGGCCAACCACAGACAGCGCTCTAATCATCGAAAATATAGTTGTGTCGTACAATCCTTCTGATAAACTGCCTTGCTAATCAGATGGAGCTTAACTCTTTTGGATACACGGAAGGAAGAAAAAATCATAAATATTGATTTACTGATCATTTTAAATCAGGGGTTTTCAACCTTTTTCTTTTTATTACCCCTTTCATAATCCTGATCGATTAACACTCATCGCCCTTTAAATCATTACTATTTTCTCTCAGGGTATTCCTGAAATTTTTTTCATGTCGTAGAATGTAGGTCTGACTGAAGATAACAACTTAAATTATAATAGTCCAAAAAATATATAGCGCCCAAATTACCCTTCGGAGTAATTACCACCAAGTTTAAAAAAACGGTTTAAAATGTTTAAAGTGAGTGATGCTTTACGATATAAGGATATGAACCATAAATAAAGCTTGTAAAAGGGGGTGTGGGAGATATGGGCTGATAACCAAACCTTTGGCAACGGTATCCGTATAACGATATGAATTTTTTGACAATATACCAAACTCCATACCAACCTGTTGTTCCTTGTTGTTGACAGGATCGCTGTTTTCCTCAGTAGTCGACAACACAGCAGCTACAATAATAACAATCAGTAAAACTAGCACCACCGCTACTCCTACTGCCACTTTAATACAACACTTTTTATCTGCATTTTTTGTCACAGAATCACGCAATACTCGAATCCTCTCCATTTTGGTGTGTTATGGTCTCAACTGTCACTTAACTGTGGACACATTCATTTTAGTTATCACACCTTAATTTGTTTATGTGCACGTTTAGTATATTTTGTGCTTTATTGGGATTCCGGTGTTTTCCAGTGGTAAAATATATTTACAGTCTGACCACACCTTGATGAAAGCTTCACTCTCAACGAATATTGAACCGAAATCAGAACATTGATACTATTAATCAGGAAATTGCCACCTGACTAAGAAAATATATATTTTTTCCTTTCGTCTTGAAATCCAGCTCGGTGTTGGCGATTGAAAAGATAACTACAACACTTAGTGTCGAGCTCACGTGCCAAAATTGGGCGAGTTTGTTTAAGATCATGGTTAAGTCCAAACAAATATTAAGTTTTGCCACGTTCCAGTGAGTAAACTTGTGTCAGAGCCCAGATCGTGCACAGTTAACGAACGCATATATTGAATACATCAGTTGTCGACTAGTCCACTTTAAAAGTGTCTCATTTTAAGAATGCATCAGGGTGCTTGAAGTTAACCTTTAAAGGGACATTGCCCTCTGATATTTTGCTCTTACCTCATTTTACATGGTCACCGCGTGCTGTTGTCCGTTAAATACCGATTCGGAAACGGTGTCGGTGGGTCAATCGCACAGTAAGTTAGGCAGAGTTCAATTGTGCTATTTTTCTTGATGAGATCACTTCTGTGTAAGTTAAATTTACAGTAGAAGCCCTCCAAACCACATCTACTGTATTGTATCGACATATTTGAAGAGTCCAGATCGAATCACTATAATCTGTAATCTAAAGAAATAAACCCCCAATATCCCACACCCCTCTAAACCGTAATCCGACAACTATATAAAAAGTAAGCTGACACGTGCCTTGACAATTTATTGCGGATATCGATAATATTCCGTTGTATTTTTAGGAAGGTTCTTAGCGTATTTTGGATATCCTATTTGTATTACATGTATAACCCTGTAGCGATGTCATCCCACTGTGTTAAACAGAGCCATATACATTTAAGTGACACTGGTTTTGAATATCTCATAAAATCCCTATTACTTAGTATCCCAGGGATGTTAAATACGATATGATAGAAGGCCGCAAGTCTGGCTCAATGGTAGGTAAGGGTTGTTCCCCTTTGACAGAAATATTTTAAATTTATAAACATTACTGGTTACTCCAATGGACACTATTTGGTGAAAGATATGTTCGAGCGATGTATTTAATCTTAAGGTGTAGGCATACGACGAGACAAAAATCTCCAATCGATGGTTTCCACCATATAATCAGCGCATACAATTGAAAGGAACATGAATCTGATGACGGTCTGTCTTGCAGACGATAAAACTATCGGAGGCAAGTTTTTATTATTTTTCAGAACGACATTTATTGGGAGCAGTCATTGTTTAAAAGAATGACGTAGCAATGCTGAAAATTCAATAGGGTCGCGACCTTGGTAATTTGCATAAAAGATAATTCATTTGAGATAAAACAGAAGACATAATACACTAAAGAAGTTGCACTTATCAGTTTACTACAAACATTTTCCAGTTTACAAATGACACTTTACAGTTTGAAATATACTTCTGATATTTATCAAAAAGGACGGTGATTTATCATTAAAGATTTTTGGAAGATGCTAAATAAACTATTTGAAAGGACTTCAGTTAAGTTACATGTGAATATAAACATTTGATTTTAGCATTTCAATCATTATGTTGTTTGAATTATAAGTAATAGGTAATAAGATATTTTACATTTGTCTTTGAATCAGTGAATTAGACAAATCGGTAGAGAATCGATTAATGGCGCAAATTGACCTCCATAAGTTTTAAACTTGTTTGATATTATAAATCCTGTCGGGGATGCGATAAGCTTGTCGTAGAAGCTCGGGCACGCGCGAGGTTTTACTCAAGACTCTAATCGGCAACATCTCCGACCATGACAGCTCGTATGCCCACTCTTTTACGTTTCGTCTTGTGCCTTGGAGTTAGGATTCTGGACCTATACCTATTGGTCTACAGAATTCTTGTGCACTTGGCGTATGGATTCCACGAGGTTAAAAGAGCATTCTAAGTAGTTGTTTGACTGTCAAAGTTTCAAAATCTTCAAAATAGTATGTCTATCTATCTGGTTGGTGAACTAAACAAGTCTTGCAAACATGAGTTGCGCCCCTTAATTATTATTTATGTAAAAAAAACTGTACCAAATCATATTGTAAACCTACCCATTGAAATCATCAGAAATGAGCAAGACTGGCTTTAGGGTAGTCATCAAATACGTGTAACTGAGAGAGCGCAAACACAGATACATGTTGACATGGTCTCCTCTTTATGGGATGATGCCCCTTCTTTGTCCACAGTAAAGATGTGGGCTGTGGAATTAACAAAGAGGGCCTTGACAATGACCCGTTTCCAGCAATGGCTGTCAACAACATCCATTCCCGAAAGCGTCACCAGGATGATGACTGATCGATGATTGAGCACACGATATATTGCCAGTGTATTCTGATAGAGATAGATACCAAAGCTCTTGACAGAACGATCAGAAACTCGTCCGATTCCAGACGTAGGACTACCATGATAACTTATGCCGCTTTGAAAAAGGTTCTGATGGTGGCGTGGTTAAAGATAATTGCTTCTTGACCGCCAGGCTGGCCTTGTAGCATTGCTGACAAAAGTGCGTAGGCCTAAACCGGCGGCTAAGAAGGATGTTAAGATAAAAATAAAAACCATAGGTTTATTACAGTTGGTGAGATGGGCTTAGAACTATTGAACCAGTCCTCGTCAAGTCAAGTTACAGTCACAGCTCCCGAATTTTAAGCTTGTCAATGAACTACATTTAGTCCGAAACATCTTAATCTATCCTAGATAGCTCTTTGGACAGTAGGCCTAAGTTTCGGTTACTGCAGTCGACAACTTTCACAATAGTTTTCAGAAGCGGGAATAAAGACAGATACATGTAGGCCTAGGTCGACAAAATTTGTTCCGAAAAACTTGTACTTGACTTATCTCAAAGTTGCAGCTAAAAATTTCCAGCCGTTAATTTTTTTAACGCCAAAAGTATTTTAAAAGTTTATGTTAACTTTACATAGGAGCTTTTAAAGTTCGTTATGTTATTGGTAGGTATATCAAAAGTACGCAAAATAAACACCTAATTATAGAGAAATATGCCTCCATGTCTTTATGCTGAGGGTTTAACAAAAAACATTGAGCCATTATGAGACTGTCAAAATAGCTATCAGATTCAGAGGCTGGAGTAGAGGCAGATATTTCGGATTACATCTTATTGTCAATCCTTTCAACCCTAACTAATCATTTGGGCTAACGAGTTTGATTAACATGATTCGAGATCAGTTGTGTTAAATGGAGCAAATCTATATAAGTCGTAGACGTAGAAATCTTGCTTGGGAAGAATAATCGACAAAATGATAATGACATTTTTCATGAACATGGGAGCAGACATCGTGGATATTAATTCACGTTAAATCCCGCAATATCTCGTACATTGCGATAACTTTTGGCGGAAGATTCGGAGTGAGAAACTGTCAGTTTTGTTATTTTCAAGGCGAGGTAATAATAGGCCTCTAAAGTAGGATCATTCGTCAAGTTGTTCCTTTTCATAATTCAGATCTGCTTTATCAGGTACAATTGTTGAGTGTTTTTTTGTACTCTTTCATTTGTCATTTCTCCTTTCCCCAAAAACTAACAAATATTGATAGGAAACAATGATGACTGAGTGACAGTCTTGGGTCGGGGACTTTGGCATCTAAGTTATATTATGCTGACATTTTTATTCACCATCAGCATGCATTGATCATAAATAGGCTATGGACACTACTGTAGATCTAATATGACATTGACTCAATAATACCCATGTTAATTTATTGTTTGCAGCATCATGCATAGATGGGTGAATGTTACGTCTGATTTTGATGGGGAAGAAACAGCCCACTTTGGTCCAAGAAAGGAGTCTGGTACCTCTCTCTATCAAGTGGACACTTTAGCCACTGTTTCACCTGTAGAAAAGGTTGAAATGTTTTTTCATCTATCTTTTGCCTTTGGACAATTTGCTATTTCACTGCTGAGAGGCTGTGGACTGAAACACTCAAAATGAAAATATATCTGCAATGCTAATCCATTATCTTTTGTTATGTAAGTTTAAGTTTGTATTCACAACTTGTATAATATTAAGTTTTGAAAGTACTACCAGCAAGTAACATTTTGAAATATCTTAAGAAAATAATTCACCTACCTACTCAATGAGTACCGATTCAGTACATGTTACTTTTCTTTCAGAATATCAATGAATGCCCATCTGTAGTATCTACAGTGCTGGGTGATTATGGGTGTCTGGCTGTTTCTAAGGATCTTTCTCTGTTTAAAGATATGCAGTACTCTGTCTCACTTAGCTTTGGTAAGTGTGAATATTTTGCTATCTTGGTCAACAGTCAAAATATATAGAAAAGAAGAAGTCAAGTCCATGTATCAGGGACACACAGAGCTCATTTGCACATATTTGAATTAATGGTTCACATAATATACAGTTGATGTACCACTGGTAATTCTACAAAACCTGACCAGATTATGATTTCACTATTGTAAGAGCTATTAAGCATATTAAACATATTTATTAATCTAAAATGATTCGAACTATAATCTAAAATGATACGAAACTATTTGAGTGTTATGTCTTACTTTTCTATACTTGATTATGCATGTGATTTCACAAAATTTAAGTAATTGCTTGTTATTATGACTGATGATAAATATTCTGCGGTTACTAATACAATTATTTACTATTATAGATGATGTAATAGAGACAACAGATTGGAGTCCTGATGGTCGATTATTAGCTGTTGGTACCAACGATGGAAAACTTTATTTATTAGAAACAGAATCCAACAAGATTTGTTTTGCACCGGTAAGCATACACAATTGTATTATTGAAATGGTAAATGACCTGGGAACTGAGACGTTTTTATTCAGTACATTCAGGAAATATATATATAAGGACTATATCTTTCCAAGATCTTGACAAACTTTCAGACAATGCCCCTTAAAGTTGCCAAAATTATTTTTTGTTCAACCTTTATTGGTTATTAAATAGATGATATCAGAAGTTAAAAGTTATTTTATTTTATTGCAGACAGTAATTCCTGAAGAAGCGAGAAAAGATGGTTCAGCTTTCAAAAAGATCATTTTTCAAGAGAGAAAAAAAGGTAAAAAACAGAAGAAAGAATTCTTTCTCCAAGGATGAGATTAGTCTATGTTCTAATTGGATATATCTCTTTTATACATACATCTAACATAAAAGACTGTAGCCATTGTCAGGAACACCTAAATCATAATCCTGACTCCAGTTAAATAAAATAATGCTGAAATTCAAACATACTAGTAGAAAAAGGTTTGGTCGAAAACCATCTTGTGGACAGGATCCTTAAGAACTTAGGTTGTTGTCAATGTAAAATCAGTTCCACTAGGATTAGTTTTTATACTTCTTGTATCATAGTAATAAAATGATATTTTTTTTTTCATCTTGTGAATTTATTTCACTAAATTGTGGTTTGCTAAGTTATCTAACCAATTGTTATATATTATATTGTAGAGAAAGATATTTGTGATGTGTATATTTTGTCTAGCAGTGGACTGGTACTGGTCATCAATAATCTAGATCTATCTTCTTTTACTAAGGGTACCGTATTACTAAATAATCTAAAATTGATACACCAAATAAATGATAACAAAAGAAAATCTACTGAAAAATATAAGTTCATGTATGGAACATAGATAATAGATGTTACTAGCTATGTGAACCCTCTGAAAGATGAGCTGAGTAAAAGGTTTGGCCGTAGTATTTATAATTGTTCTTTAAGATTCTACCCCTAGCGCTATAATCATTAGATTAACAAAGTTGTATGTAATGTAAATGTGGTCTGAATTATTTCAGGGATTGATAATCCAGGGGAATTGGTCAAACATCAGATCAAGTTCCAAAAAATTCCAACATATGAAGTCCACACAGTTTCTACTACTGATATTATACCATATAAATCCTCTCTCTTTACTTTTGTAAGTAGATCATTTTAATTAATGCTGTACCAGCTGATAGAGCTCAATTTAAGCTATCCGTACCACATAAGAAATGGATAAAGTGATGTCTTAAATCACTTAAATTCAGTTATCTGTATCACTTTATAAATTTACAATCTAACATCTGGTTAGTCTGCTTTTAAGGGAAACCAAACATTATTCTCCCATGCAGATATTATATCAGACTTTTACTTATAGTTTAATGGAGCTCCTTTAGAGGGAGAGAGTAAATACTTCAATGGTTATGTCTCAAAATGCAGACTTACAAGGCCTCTTATTTACATTCTGAAAAGGGATCAGGATTCCTTGAACTTACATGTGACAAAACAATATTTATACGCCCAAACCCCATTAATTATTTTAGGTGTATTAAGATGAATTTTGGTCAATTATATTTGATGTATGATTTTTACAGGGAAAAGGAGATAGTATACTAGCCAAATGGTCATGTGAAAATGGAGATGTAGAACTTGTGGATGAGGTTGGAGATCTATTTGGTGGAGGTTAGAACATTTTATTCTTTTTTTTCAATACTTGAAATTACATCTACTTTTAAGTATTACCTCGTAAATATATCTTATTAAGGCTAAGACCTTCTCATACCCTGGATCTAGAATGATTCATAAAAGCTATTCACATATATTTGCTTGACAATATCAATACCTGATACAGTCATATGACTATGTAATTGTTTGTATATGATGAATATTGTTATTGTAGAGACTGGTATAATAATGGCTAAAATATCCTCAGATGGAAATTATATATTTGTAGTAGACCAAGATGTAAGTCCTTTGTATTTCTAATCGCCTAATTATTGACCATCAATCATAAACCATCTTAATTTTCTGTAAGGGATGCTGAGTATCCAGTGTCTGGCTCAATACTTGCATCTATGAATGTTGATTTGACATTTCCTTATTCTGTTTATTGCATGCAGAAGTTTGCATATGTGGTACATTTATGCAGCAAAAACTGTAAAGATTCTTTGGTTTTTGAGATTCTAGTACTGTGTGTGGCACAGGGAAATTGTAGAATATCAGGCAATGTCTTGATGGATTAAATGTTTAGCTTTGTATAGACACCAAAAGTTCTGCCAAATTTGGCAAATTCTCAAAAACTAGCGACAGCAGCTCCCTTAAATCATGACATTTTTTGTCTTGCCCTAAACATCCTGATATTTATCTGGATTGCTAGATTGCTGCATGCTGATTCAATGCTGAAGTATTTTTTTTCTTTCAGAGTACATTAAGTTTATGGCACGCTCACATGTTAGTGGTTATCAATAGATGGACTGACAGAATAGTTTCAGACTTCCAACTTCTTGAAACTCAAGAACTGAAAAACAATAGGTTGGTTCAATTTGACTAATTATTGTTTCATAAAAAGTGTTCACATTTACATGTTACAATTCACTTTATTTTGAGGTTTATCAAGAGAAGAACTTCCATTTTGAAATTGAATGTTGTAGAGCTTGCTGACAACCAGGATCTTTCAAATAATGCTGTTGATCTGGTTTCCAAAAAAAAACAGGTGGAATTTAACATAGAGAAACTATGAATTTTTTAACAAGGATTAGGATACTTGTCTCACGATTGTATCTATATACTTCAGATTGATGATAATTTCCTTCATTGCACACTGCATGGCTTTTGTATGTAAAACTTTATTTCATTTCAATTATGTGTATATATGTGTGAGCTTGTGCATATACATGTACAATATTAAAATATGAATTGTTTGCTGGTATATTTTCAGTACTAAAGGAATGAAGTTATTAGTAATATGTAAGAATAACGAGGGATCAACTCTCTATGTACAGGAGTTACCATCATTGAACACTGTCTATACATTACAATTGAATAAACAGACTTATATAGCCACCTGTCCAACTTATCAGGTATGTCCTTATTGATTAACCATTGTGAATTTATTAGTATTTTGATTCAGGTAGAATGAAGCTAAGGCCTTTTATGTGAAAGAGAAAATATAGTGCTATGTCCTACAGCTTGTTAAATATACCTCAATAGTTTGAAATCTAAATATAGCAAATCATGTCAAAATTTCCCTCATTACACACTTCAAGAAAGTATAATCTAGCACAACAATGTATTTATGTTGTTATTTTCTTCAGGAATCACTGTATGTTGTTGAAGGTTGCTGTGATGAGAGGTAAGTGTATGATGGATTATAAATTAATATATCATCATTTTTGAGATTGATTTTTTTCTACTGCCCATCATGAGAAGCCTCATAAAAATTTTGCAAGCATATATTTAAGTAATTCAGTTGGAAAATTGTTGTACCAGGGATGTCAAAACAATCTGCTACAGATTTCTTGACGTGAACTGCATGAGACATCATACTTTGTCTGTTCACACCTCCATGTATATTTAAGTCTTTAGACTGCTTGTTTGGTGGCAATGAGAAAGAATGGCATCAATTCTAATAACTTTGTGCAAACTTTAAATTTGATACTCTTTTAATGTTTATATCCCTATAATATTTTAATACAGTTATCCAGATGTTATCTCAACGGTTAGATTTCGCTGTTTAAACGAAGCCAAACCAGAAACTAGGTCAGTTTTAACTTATATCCCAAAACTTGGTACAAAATTAACTTGAAAATTGGATTAAGGGACATGATGTAGTGTTATATTATGTGGCTGCTAAGAATTTGAATTTTTCTCTAACATTTTTTTTTTTAAGATGGTCCCTGCTTTCCCAAAGTACTTAAACAAAATTTTGAATTGTTTGTAAGTTATTCATTGAAATAAGACTATTGAGAATTTAGGAAAGTAAAGCTAAATTGTAGTTATATTATATTTTGATATCCACTTTTATTTGTAGGTTAAGTCGGCTCTTGAATAAGAAACTGTTTGACCAAGCTGAAGAATTTGCTAAAACATTTAACCTAGATTTAGAGGTATGTGCTCTATATTTTTGCTATGATTTAATTAAAAAAAAAACAGTTACAGAATCACCAATCTTGGATCACCATAAAATTACAATAACTTATTTTAAATAGTTCATTACTACTGAATCAACATATTGATCTAAAGATTTTATTGTTATTATAGCTAGTATATGAGGTGAAGGTACGACATATTTTAGAACAAGTGGCACCATGGAACAGTAATAAATATTCTGAAGAGATGATAGAATCTATGATTAAAGATTTATGGACATGCTTAGATCTTATTAAGGTAATGACTGATTTCAATACCAATTCTTATGTTATTTATCATAAGTATGGAAAGAAACACTGGCCCCTGATGGTGTTTTTATTTTTTATATTATAGAATGATTTAGGACTAGTAGATTGTTGTTTAAAAGTTGCTCTACCAACTTATGAAGAAACCTGTAAACTTTTACAGTACCAAAAATCAAGGGTAATTATAAGATAATTAAAAAATTTTACACACTTACACACTTTGTCAGGGACCCGGTTCTAGTTACTGATCGAAAACTGAAAAATGAAAAATGATAAATTTGCTATATTTCACACTACCTGATGATGTCTACCTCATTAGCCCAATAAAGTACAGCACTTCAAATGATCATTTGACAATAAACTGAGGCCCTGTGTACTACAATCTATTAAAGATCTGAATTCAATAAAGAGCAAGCTAAAACTGTTATTCTAACAAAATATTCTTCATTGCACACTGCATGGTGTTGTCTGTCTTAATTAGATGCAGAAATATAGGATGTAAAACTCTTTTACTCTATTTCATTTCCTTTTTTGGATTTACTGTAATATTGAGTGATCAACTGAATTGAGTAATTATTTATAGTTTCTTGAGGACCCTATTACTATTGTATGTTATTATAGTTAATCAAACTAGCTGGAACGAAACCCTCAGCTGAGATATTACAGAGACAACAGAATTTACTAGCTGATGTGTTAGAAATACAACATAGATTATTGACATATAGAATGGTATTTGGTGTTGATGAATATAAGTAAGAATAAACATTTTACTGAATTTTTCTGAATTCTTTATATATCCATAACTGAATCTTCGTTTCTTTGAAATTTAATTTTAAAGATCAGTTTATCAACGGCTCTCATGCCATAGTGATCACCAGTTGGGTATGCTTGTGAAAATGAATAAGTTTTAAGTTTCAAACTGCAACGCTCATGCAACTGGTATGGAAGTTATGTTTGGAACTTATGACCACTTTCATTATTCACAACTATATTTTGTGATATTTGTGATGTTTTCAGTGCAGAAGATTGGGATAACTTTATGAAATGTAATTTATTAGATAAAAGTATGGAAGCTTTAGCAGTCAATCAACATAATACAACTTTCACTATCTGGCAGAGACACAAGGTAAATTAGTTTTATATTTCTTGATGAGATTTGATATGTTATTATTTGTTGTAAATGGAATGGATTAAACATAGTAATTAGACAGTAACCGCCTCCCCATCCAATCAGTTCCTTAATCAGAATGGAGTTAATTACAAGGGCATGAGTCCCTACCCCCTAATGGGTTATTTATTCAAACAATTGGAACAAAGTACATTTGATAGGCTCAAGCCCCCAACACCACCCCACCCAAGCAATCTGAATGAAGTAACTAAGAAGGGTTTGAACACCCCCTCCTCCACCTAAAGGGTTATTTATTTATTATTTTGTTGTTAATATAGACTGAATGGAGTAAACATATGGGATATGGAATAATAGATATATTATTAAAGAATATACCAGATGATATTAAAGCTAGTGATATATTAGGCTGGTATCGAGATGATTTGATACCATTTGTTAGTTCGAACGTTCCTACTGCTATGGTAAGTTGATGGTTTAGTGAAGTGGTTCCAATCTTTTCAGCCCCATAGCAATCATTAGGTCTCATTACACCCCCTAAACAATTGATATTGAAACTATCAAAGATAAATTCATCTTACAACTGTTGACCCTGACATCCTAGTCCCCCACTGTCCTGATGAGCTCTTGTCAATAAGATTGGGTCAAGAGTGTTCCAACTGTCAACTGTTTAGTGAGCGTATGTGAAGTGTAATTTATATCTTAACCTACATCTTTACAGCAATTGATAGTGTCCTGGATTTTACTCAAGATAACCAACATGGAACTTCTAGAAAAGGTAAATATGATTTACTGTAGTTCTTGATAATCTTGAATTTTAATGTAGTAAACTCCTGACAGTGATGTCAGCCCTTAAGAAAGGGCTGACAAAAAAGTGCCCCATCCTTCAAATGAGACAATAAATCAAATCAACATTTTGAGCTAAAAATCTTGAGAGATCCCTCAATCAATCAATCCCTGAAATCAAAGTATATTAAAACTATTAGTTCCTAGACAGTTGTAGAAGATTTCACTAATGCATATCTCCTGCATAATTTGCCATATTGCGCACTGCATGGCGTTGCCCTCGTGTATAACCTAAATTAGGAGAAGAATATTATAATTCATTTGATTTGCTTGCAGAAAGGATGGCCTTTAAATGCTCTAGAATTTAGTAAAAGTTTATATAAAAAGATAAATGAAGTTTTACAGATCAACCTAGGTGATTCAGTTTCTCCAGCTGACAACGCTAACAAGGTATGGGTAAAAAATAGAAAATATTCTTTATATTTTTTGCATCAGAAACATGTTTGGTTGACAAACCATATTGCAGAATGGTATCATGTCCTCATTCACTAAAAAACATCCTCTGAAAAAAAGTTTTGTATGTCATGAATTATATGCCAAAAGTGAATTGAAATATTTTTGTGTGTGCTGTGGAATTATGAGTTCTAATAATTACATGAATGAAAGGTTATATCAAGTAATATATGGCAGTTAATTTCATATCCCTTGTTTGACTTGATATGTTTAGGTATTGGTTGAGTTGATGTTTTCATGGAAAGAGTATTTATACATAAGAAAGGGATAGGTTGTATATGTATATGTCCTACCCCCTCAGTTACCAGTTTTTGTTTTCTTTATATTTGGATTTTATATTGTAGACGAAAGTTAACAGTAAACAGATAGTACAACCACTACACAATATGGTGTTTGATTTACAACAACTTTACAATCTAGAAACTAAAAACAGTTGCCGTCTGACTCTAGCTCAATTTCAACAGGTAACTTTAACATTATTTATCGCTGCATTCACTATGTACTAGAGTCAGCAATTTCTTTCAAATGAGCTATCAGAATGCTTTTGATCACTTAAATTGGTCAAACCTTTTTTCTGTCAGCACCATTACAGATTATAAGTAATGTCTGCCTGTCTGTCTGTCTGCACATTGTGATGTGCACTTCAGTATTGTCAATATGATAGACAATATATGATATATTGGTGTAGTTTGGTTTAAAATGTTTTGAAAATTTCAGGAAACGACGGAATCAGTAACATTTCGTATGTTGGATCAGATACAAGCGGTTGAATTACTCGTACCAGCGTTACAACGCCAGATTATACCTTATCTTAAAGAACATGACTTGAATGAAGATCAAATCTTCGCTAAATATGTCAAAGTAAGCTTTGTTTATTTGTAAGGACGCTGGAAGTAGGGGGTAAGAAAGACAAATGCTCCTCCCCTGTATTGTTGCCTGTCCGAGTATTTGTTATGCCTAATTTCTGTTTTGAAAATATTTGGAGCTCGAGCTCTACAGGCCCGCCAAATTCAACATAGATTAGGGTAGGGAGGTAAATTTCATTATTTCAAACCATGATATATATATATTTATCTTTCGTTCCAGGACTTGTTAGAAAGAACAGGCCATATTCGTACTATCATGGGGACGTCATTATGGGAATCTAAAACAGAGGCCATTATTAATTTTATTATTGACAAGAGAGTAAGTGTCAAATTTTTGAAAGTATTGTCCATCCTTAAATACAAACTTTTATGACAGTCACAATGCAAGCAGCAGTTAAATTATGTGGGAAAAAGAGCTATAACAATTGAATGCAAGGCTTAATGTAAATTACTTTGTCTATTGAAAAGATGGCAACGTCATAAAGTATCATTAAATAGCTTAATTACGATTTTAAAAATGTAAAATATGATTAGTTTCAAGGTCTATAATCTATAATAATCTATGTCTATATTTAATGTTCTAGGAGAAATGTCTAGCTATATTAAACATCATGAAGATAGCTCCCCTACCTTGGAGTGATGAGGTAGAAAAATTAATCCTGTCAGGATTGAAACTAGATCATCCTATGTAAGTTATCTGCCAGTGCACTCCACCTACCAAGACTTCATACAATCTAGATTCTCAAAGAATATGTCAAAAATTTTGATCTAATGAGAAACTAATGAAAAAAATGTTTGAAAACAATATTGATCTATAGAAAACAAGAATGGGAAATAAGTAAACTGTTAGTGTGATGTGTTATGGTGTTTTCAGGGTAGCTGAATTAAAGGAACAGTGTAGATTGGTAGAAGTAAAGAAATTGATGATCAAATATGGGTTGTCCATTAAAGATATACCATCTACTGATACTGCAGAGGTAGGCCTTAAATTGTTTAAGTGGCTAATCTTTGATATCTAGTAGTGAGGCGAAGCAAACAAACTCGATTTTCTTTTCTTATCTGGCAATTTTATTTCTAGAATATGTTGATTTAGTTTTATGTCAAAGTCAGAATCTCTACAGTGATTTGTCTTTCCTATATTTTTTGCATATCTTGGAATTTTTCAACCCTGTCTCCCAGACCTGTCAGTGATGCAGGTACGGGGGCTGACAGGGAAAAAGCGTCTAGTCATTTGGATTGGACAATAAACTGAGGCCCCGTGTACTACAGGCTATGCACATTAAAGACCCCTTGACAGTTGGAAATCGTAGAAGAGCAGGCTAATGCCACTGTCCTGTCAAAATTTCCCCCTTTGCATACTGCATGGCGTTGCCCCTCTTCATTAGCCCACATGGTGCAGAAAAGACGTCAAAATTCCGTTCATTTCATTTTTTTTTTGCAGAGGTTGATAAACTATATTTTACATAGAGATTTACCAACTGCTATTGAAGATGCTATTCAAGTACAGGAGGCATTAGAATTGACATGTGATGACGAGATTTATAGAATACGCTCATTTTTTCTTATCCAACATGACAGGGTAGGTGTTATAAGCATTGTTTTCTGGTTCTGTAATAATGTATGACTTTATTACGAATCATAAACAACCATATAATACACAGATAACAGTTTACGTTCTCTTTTCTTTTCTACCATCTAGTCTTTGGTAAACCATTTTTGTAGATTATAGATTATGGTATTTTTTGGCAAGGATAACATAAGTGCTCGAGAACCCTGCCTACCAGCTGAAATCTAATTAAAGATAATATGCCATCTTGTTATTACAGATCAGTGAATATATAGAGTTATTACAATCTATCTCCACCACTCTAGCTATCAATACAGGTTACCGTGTTGTTAACTATGCTAGGTTAGAACTACAAGATAAAATTGCCAAACTTTGTAAGGTAATGCTTTCACGTTTTCTTCTCACTTTTTGCTTGATTTGTTCATTTGCATTTAGTCGCATATATTTTGAAAAGTGAATTCCTGATGAAAATTCCATGGGAAAAGTGTCTAGTCGATTGGATGAGACAATAAACCGAGGCTGTGCACATTAAAGATACCTTAACGGTTGGAAATCGATCTGTTGTCCTGGCGAAAATTTCCCTCATTGCACCCTGCCTGTCTTCATAAGCCCACATGGTGCAGAAAAGTAGGAACTCAAACTCCATTCATTTCATTTCTGATGAAAATTCCACATCCAAGTTTACACGTGAGTAAGATGAGCTCTAGTTATTGATGCGAGCCTAAATATAACAAATATTGTAATTTATAGTTATATAAAGAAAATAAGTTATTTACCCAAGCTGCAGTAGCTACAGCTAATTTTCTACAGTCTGTTGTACCTGGTAAGATTTTTGGTGGTCTTTACTGAAGTTTGTTATATTTAGTTGCAGAAGCTACTACACATTATGTCCAAACTTAAAGTGATAGTCTCTTCATCCCATACCTTAGTCTCATAAGCTTAAATTTTTTGTCTTAACTAATCAGTGATAGTGTTTTCAGCCCCGCGTTGGAAATTGAACATTCAAATCCATGACATGAAATATGAATTATGTGTGCTTGACAGTTAAAATGACAAATTTTCTTTTTTTTTCTTGCGACTCCATCATATATGGCGGTATAACTAAGGGATTATGGGATTACCCTGTACAAGTAGTACATACTCAGTAGGTGAAAATGATGATCCTTGGCCTTAAACACAACAGGCAATTTATTCACTCCAGCAACTCTTTAGGTCTGTAATATTTGCTTGTTGTAGATGAACACGAGAAAGAAGAGTGGAGAAAATTTCACAAATACTTTCATAACATACTTTCTCTACAGGTAATTAATGTTATTCACTATTCATATCAGAAACTAAATTATATACATTGCTATCAACAAAACCTCCATCGCAGAGTTTCAGGAAAAATTTGTTTGATAGCCATGTTGCTCGATTGGCGACTTCTGCACATTCAGGATTTATGGAATAAACCGAATGTTGAATAAAACAGGTTGGAATAGGGTTCGGAACATGTTCCAAGTGTTCTAATGGAAATCAAAATGGCAGAGAAAGGAATTTTGTGCAGGATATGAATGTTTGAAAACCTGATTTTTCTTTCTTACACCATCATTGAATAGGCCTCATTTTTTAAATCTTCACAAAAAAGAACATGCTTGAGTAGTCTTCTTCTGTCATTGATACAAATAAAATGTCCTGTTAATTATCTCTATTTACAGATAGAGTATAAAAAGTACATGACTTTAGAACAATATCAATCAAAAACATACAGACAGAAATTATTTCTAGCTTATGAAGAACAATTCTTTACAACTTCAGCTTCTTTCAATACAGATCAGGTAAATATAACATTAAGTTAAAGAATCAATTGTTTGAAATATTTAACATCTTATTTTTAAAAAAGAATTGGAAGTAAAGTTAACCAACTTAGTTGGACTACCTCCTCCATTGACATTAATGTAAAAACTAAGATATGTTCACTTTACAGTTTTAACAAAAACCAATATTATTGTGCACTGGGAGAGGGTTTAGTCACAATTTCAGCTTTAATGTAATTGTCATGCTCTCCCTCATTTTTACACTTGGGCTTTCTCTCATTTCTGAAATGGCAAATTGTTAATTATATCTCTAGGTTTATTTCCTCTGTTTCAGACTGCATTGACAATAAATCAAATGTACAGGTTGTCTGATTTATTGTTGATATCACGAGTCCAGTTTTTAAGTCATTTGATTGTAAACTCGGCTAGAAATGGTGAAATTTCTGCAGCAGTAAAATGGAGCAGGTATGTAATTGGTATTCTTTAATTTTTTGTTGTTAAATTGTCACTTATTTCTTGTAAATTTGTCTTGATATTGATAGAGAGTTATATTCTAATTTTTTTTTTTGCTAGAACAATTATTTTCATATAGTGGATTCTAGTATTCCTTAATTATTTATTTATTTATTTATTCAATTATTTATTTATTTATTCAGTTATTCATTTATTTATTCAATTATTCATATAAATGTGTATTCAGTTATTTATGAATTCATTTGTTTAATATTTATCCAGTAAATTATGTGAAGTAGAGAAATCTGAAGAAACTATAGAAGCTATATTGAGTGTTTCCCAGTCGTTTTTACAGATTTTATCAGATTGTGATATAGACACAGAAGATACAAGATGTCTACCACAAACTGTCTACCAACTAGCTTGTTACGCTTTAACCCACTGTTCACAAGGTTTGTACTTCATTATTTATTCAGAGATATATCCCTCGTAATGTTTACCTCAATCTTAACTTTCCTGGGGGCAGCATGATTAGTGAGTTCTGCATATTCAGAATCATGGAATCAAGTAGACATTCAGTGAAACAAAGTTCAGAGTGTGTTTCACATGTTCCGAAAAAATAGCAGGTGCAAAAAGTATTCAACAGTATTCAGAGAAAGAAATAGAAAGCAAAATTTTGAATGTGCCAGAAGTGGAACAAATTGAACCTTTAAAGAATTCTCAAATCAAACGCCTCTCTGATCACACTAAATAGGATTAAAAATCTTTAATTTTGATAGTAATTAGGTTTATAAACATTTAATAATTTAACATTGTGATTGTAAATTTTAGATAGAATAAGTGATTATTTAGAGTTGTGTAAATCAGCCCATCTATTATCTAGTATTTCTAATGAATGTGAAGCTAGTGGACTACAGAATGTACAAAGGGTAGGCTACTTATTAACACATTGTATCATATATATATATATATATATCTTGATAACATACTAGTAGCAAGGACTGCTAGTAACTGGCATCTTTAAAGATAATCTTGGCGCACTGACAATTGAAAAATTACAGATGCTGTTGCTTGCTTGTGTTTTAGTCTAATAGTTGACATGGATATCAGAAATCTACCACCATTCTATTGATCATCTGTAGTAGAAGTCGGTAAATTCCTGGATGTGAATGTGTCACTGTCAACTGTTACATTGTCTGCCCGTTTGAGATTCTTTGAATACCTAGACCTAGATAACATTTACTTTACAGTACCAAGCAGAACACTTGCCCATTATTGAATGTAATTGAGTATATAGTCTTGTTAGTATTTATATTGTGATGTTTTGTATTTTGTTGGATTATGATAATATGTTCATGAGTTGAACTGATGTATTAATTTTGTTATCCTGTTTAGAAATCGCGAGCAGCCAGTGTAAGTCAGATGAAAGATGAAAGATTTGATAGTTATACTTTTGATGTTGTATTTAAAGAAGATTCACTAGTCATGAATTCTTCTATTGTCATTCCACTGGTTGCTAACTTTCTCAAAGTCAATCCTTTCTTAAAAATATGTAAGTATTCACTATATCATTCAATTAATTATATTTCATTGTATGATATTTTTTTCAATGAGTATCAGTAGTCTTTGAATGTTAAAATAGCTGCTGGTTGCTTTTTTGAGAGTCCATAGAAATAAAGGAAACAAATAAACACTATTTACATGGATAACATCTTTTGATCCGAAGTGATCCTGTTTATCCAAACCTCTTGCTTATTCGTACCCATATCTAACTCGGTCAACTGAAATTATTAGTAAAGATAACTTATTCAAGATCACCAGATTTTCTCGTGCTGATTGAGATTAGAACCCACGAACACCAATTGTTTGGCGTAACCTAGCCAATGAAATCATGTTAAGTTTCCAATGATATAAACAACTGTGCTACAGAACCCTTAACCTGGTGCTGCCAGCTATTCCTGGATAGTCCACATAACTAGTGATCCCTTAGAGAGTCTACATAACTTATGATATTTGATGTATTTATCTAGCTATAGGAAGAGATACTAAAAGTAAACTAGAAGAATGTTTAAATGCAGCTATAATACTAATCCAACATTTAAAAGAAAACAGCCATTTAAACCTGTCAATACGTACTGTTATGTATGTTTTATCTATTGTTATACAACTTAATGATATGGGGTATGTCAAACCAGAGGTAAGAAACAGTTGTCTTGATTGGTTTACTATCTGACGGACCTCATTTTTGGCTTAAATCCATGGAGGGAGCTCAGAGATTTAGGTGCTTGCTCCCTACCATAAAGGTCTAATATTAAATCCCGTTATATTTCAACCGGGTTTCCCACTTGTTAGAGATGCAGGTCGGAGAGGCTTACATGCAAAAATAGTTTCTATCATTGCACACTGCATGGCATTGCCTGTCTTCACTAGCCACATAAAAGGTGCATAAACTGGGGCCCTGTTTTCTACACAATGTGCACATTAAACTTTCCCTGATAAACAAAATTGGAATAACAAGAATTGTCTTATATGACTATCTTAACAAATTTTCCCTCATTACACAGAGTATGGCATTGCTCCTCTTCATTGACCCAATAAGAGGTACAGAAGTTGGAAGTTAAAGTGTTTCATTGCATTTCTGTAAATAAACAACACTTATTTTGACAGGAATTAGAGTTGTATAAAACTCAAGTAGAAAATGTCCATCAGAAAAATACAAAACTTGTGAAAGATTTACTATCTGCTGTATTAAATAAGGTAATTCTTTATTCAATTGATGAGAGGGTGGTTTATAAGTGAATGTCCACTAGGTTACTTGTCAAAGTAATAACTGATCATTGACTGACCACTCTTCATATAATTTGTGCGTATCTCTCAATTTGGTCTGAGCACATTATCACCAACAAGTTTGAAATCACAAAAGTTTCCATTGATGGCAGTGAAAGCTGATCAGATGTGTGTTTTTATTTTAGTCCCCTTATTTGCCTTAAAACCTTTTAAGCCACCGCTCGCAGAAAAGTAAGACATAAAACTCCATTCATTTCATTTCAAGCCAACGCTCGTAGTAAACAAAGCCAGTTTTAAGGTCATTTAAAACTAGCTGTCCTGATGAAGAATTTGTATTTGAGAAGCATTTTAGCAAAGAGACTCATTGTACAGTCATTTATTCTGTAGGCTTCTTATTTTCATTTTACATTAACAAATGATTGATAGTTGTTTCATTCTGTTGTAGCTGTTTAATTTCAATAAAGTAGACCTCAAGCTGGCCCTGGCGTCAATATTGAGTCTACAAAAGAAGCTGTGTGTTGATGCCATTAGGAAAATGCTGTCGTCTGCTGGTACCAATTATAAGAAATTGATGGTGAGTGTGGTTTAATAATCTAGAACTTGTGGGAGCTCAATTAATGTGGCCCCTTTATACCAAAACTTATTAACAATTCAAAATGTAAGACAAAATACAAAGGTGTGCAATTCGTATACAACAGATGTGGTCACTCTAGCCAGTGTCCAGTGAGCTAGATTTTATATTTGATAGTGGACAGGCAAATTTTTTTTCAAACAGTAACCTTTCATTGGCTATCATTACCAACTTTTATAGATATTTTTAGATTCAAATATTGACATTCTAGAGTGTGGCCACAGTTGGTATTGGTGTCAGTGAAATATTTAATGATCCAACAGCGAAACAAGTTTGTCAGAATTTAGAAGCTGATGGTAGATGGGGACACAGATTGGCTAAATTTAAGGTAGGAACTAATATTTTGGCAGTAGCTCTAAGATAGATTTACATACTACTGCTGTGCCTTAGTGAGTTTGAATGTTCAGGTTTGAAATTCAGCATATGTTGGATTTTTTAACGTGGTTTCTTTGAACTCCTCAGTTCAAAATATTGTGGAAGTCTTATGGTTTCTTTCTGTCAGTTATATAGGTCGACTGGACCGATATGGAAAAGCATTGTTTGTATATGCTACTTGAGGCTATGCATGTTGAAAATCCCACAACTATGAGAAATGTAAGAAGAGTAACAAGAAGGGCAAGTTTTATATTCTATTTTTAGATACAATTTAAAGATGCCCTTAATGGTGGATCAAAGGAAAAGTTGAAAATCCTGAATCAAATGGCACAGAGTGATGCAGCAGAAGTCAGCATAATTAAAGAATTTTGCGAGTAAGTCTAATTTATTATGAGAACTTTTATGCTATAATGTGGATGGATGTGTGGATTGACTTAATTCTTTTTCTTCTTCAGAGCCTTTAACTTGGAAACACAAGATGGGTTGTTAATGTATTTAGAGACTGTTTTAACAAAAGAAAGTTATGTAGCAGAAGATGATCAGAAATTACGATCTCGACTTACCGCAGCCACTGAAATTATTGAGGCAATGAAAGAAAAAAGTACTTTGAGAAAAAAACTAAAACAAATGCTAGCAAAGGTATGTTGATTTATGGAAAAAATGATTTAAACTTTAAACTGTGTTTTGGAAGGTATAATAGTAATAATGTAAATGCTTTAAAATGGGATGCTAAGTTGACAAAAGCATATACCTGTTAACCTTTTGAACTCTGAATGTACCTCATATACCCTGAACTCCAAGTAATATATAGATAAGTAAAAGGGTATGACGTTAACCTTGTGTGTAGTAATGACCGGTTTACTAGCTGTTCAAGTATCTTTAGCGTAGTTATACGACTGGTAAACCAGCCACTAAGGTTGAAAGGGTTAAAGAGATGTCTGGTTGACAGATACAGTCATAAAGTGGCTTAAAGTGTTTTACAAGGATAAGCATTATTTTACTTCATATGTAATGCTAAGATCCCTTACAGTTATTATATTATTGTTTTTCAAATTATATTTTTGTTAAAATACCAATATATGATATAATTTATTAATATATTTTTCAGACCAGTATATATGATTATGAATCAATAGAATTTATTTTACAAGCTCTGAGTAAACTTGATACAGATTCTCAGATCTCACAGGTATTATTCCATCTATTATATATCTTTTAACATGAACAAAATATATAAATATTCAAGATTTATTATTTTTTGCTAAGTGTTCACAACCCACCATAAAAATTTGAGCCTTCAAATCTATGAAGACTATATTTATTTAAGACCCAAATCAATCCCCTGAAATTGTTAAACTATGGCTTTACCAAATTTAGATCTGTAAAGAAAGTTTGTCAAATCTATCCTAGGGTCTAGCGTTATTACCATATTTAAAAGTATATAAAAGACGAGGTCAACCTTCTGAAGAAGAATTGAGATATGGTGAAGATAGAGATGCAGAGGAGGTAGAATTTTGATTATTTTAACCTGTTTTTGGGACAAGAGAGTAATGTCACACTTCAGGTGAAGATAACTTACCAGTGACTGGAGTTGACCACCTGCTCTCTCAGTTCAATTGAAGAGTTCTGAACAGTTTCTGTCTGGATATGTCAAATTCAAAATTTTCACATATATTTCTTTTTCACCTTTTTGAATTCTGTTGCAACTTCTGTTTTTCTGTAATACGTTGAATAAATTCTGAACTGTGTTTCAACTTGTTTTATTGAATATTTCTTTAATTCCATATATCCCAAATGTGCTGAGCTCACCAATCGAGTTACCCCTAGGATGACATCAGTTGAGGTTTATGATATGGGATAGTCTATCTATTATTTTCATCCTAATAGCCTATCAAAGAGCAGGCAACAATTACTAAAATCTGTTATTTTTATTTGTAGTTATCAACTGTACTTGGTACTATACCAGCTATCGGTAAAACTAGAATACCATACCATCCTTTAGTTGATGGTGATGCTTGGAAAATAATCAGTATGTTTAGTTTTACTTAAATACTAGAATTATATATAGACTTTATTATCTAATTTAGACAAGAGCAGATGTCAAATTGATAAACCTTAGTACCAAACATTATTGTCTGTGATGTCAAGTTGTAAAACCTAAATGCCTAATGAACTAGCTGATAGAATTTATAAAGATAAAGAGAGTAAATAGCCTTTAGAATTGACATTGTAAAAATTGTTTTCTGTTCTACTATTGAAATCTACAGGTCAATTATCAACAGTCATTTAACATCATTGAGTTTTTGTGTTAAAGTAGTTATTTTGTGTCTATAATTTTCTAGCTCCTGAATTAGACAGTGATACAGTCTCTATGTGGTTACCTATTGTTCAAGTTTTAAAGGTAAACTCTCCTTAAAAAAACAGCACTGATATTCCATGAGAACAATTTCATCATATATTATGTTTTTGCTAGACTGTATTATCCCAATAAGGTATATTTTGATGAATCGCAGTATAAAATGTCTATGTACATATAGGATTAGCCTAGATAAATCTACTACCGTATAAAACTACTACTTCTTCGTACAACTCCATCAGTTAAGCCTACCCTTCAAATGTACTGTGTTGATGGACTCATTAATGGTTCAGCTTCATACAGATATCAAAATGTATAAAAAATCGTGCTTTTAATATGGTGAAAAATCTCAAAAACTAGTGACCAAAAAAGATGATGGAGCAACTCCCATAAAAGGTGACATATTATATCCAATATATATCATGTCTGAGGAAGGGTATGGCCAACTGATATAACATTATATTATTTTCTGTTCTCAGTTGAAGGTAGATGATGTATATTTAGTAGCTGTACAGAATATGGTGAAGAAACATGTAGCGTGTCAGAAATCAGAAGAAAAACAAGATAAGGACCGGAGTAAATGTGATTGGGAGTTTAGTGAACGTAGTATTCAGTTTTTAAACAGTATACATGCTCTATTGGTTAAAGTTAGTCACCTTAACTCTGTGCTGGCCTGTTCTACATGGTTAGTTAGAGAATTACCAATGGGTAAGTTATCTTTTCTCTTTCTCTGTATTATCTGGTAAAATCAAAGAGATAGAACTTTGAAGCTCTACAATAATATATAGAAATATTAGGTAGAATTCCTAGTTTGAGATATTTTTTAAGGAATTATGCGATTGTTATACATTTCTTGTACTTCTGAAGACTATTTACATATATTCAAGTCCCAAATCAAAGCCCGAAAATGAACAATAATTTGAACCACATATTTTATTTTTCCAGGTGGTGAAAAGATTCTGGGACTAAAATGTTGTGTAGAATTTGCCGAGAAATGGAATATGGCATGTCCTGAAGCAGGACCAGAGAAAAAGAAAGCCATGGCAGCTTACACCAAGTTTTCAACATATCTAAAACGACTGTCAACTGAACGTATTCTCTTTCTACATAATATGACAGAGCCTCATATAGTAGGTTTGGTTAACCAGCCTACAGAGTTAATTAATAAACTCTATGAACTACCATGTGTTACAGCTGATCAACTGGATGTCTCTATTAAACGAACAGGTATTTGGCTTTCAACTTTTTAGGACCCTAGCCTGATTGAGAATTTAGGGGCTGGGTTCAACCTGCACTCATTGTAATAAGAACATCATTCTAGCTCAACTAATCAACTAAAAGAATTCAGATATTTTCCATTTTAGATGTGAGCAAATTCAGATATTTTCTATTTTAGATGTGAGCAAATTCAGATATTTTCTATTTTAGATGTGAACGCTATGGTAAAGGATATTGTGGAGATACATGGTTTGAAACTTAGCGTTATTTCTACCTCCTTGATAGAAAAATGGTTACCATCATCAGCTTCTAAACAAGATTCTGACCAGGTTGGTTACTAAGCTAGGATACTTTGATCAATCAGATAGTTATGTGTGGCAAGATTTGCAAAGAAAAGCGTTTTCAGTTATGAATTTTCCCTGAGTTCCTGTGTACTGCAGGCTGCACATCAGGGCTGTTGAGTTATTTTTTGGGGTTACAAGACACTATTTTGGTATCCTACTGTAATTGTATTTGTAGTAATAATTATTATAACTGATAGTTTTAGTTTCTATACATTCAAACTTACTGTCATCTTATTTTTTTTTTTTAAGTTTCGTCTTTGTACAGTTTAGTTCAGATTCTTAGAAGAAAAAAAGTATTCACAAGCAAAATATTTTCATTGCACTTAACATGGTAACCAGCAAAGTAGTTTTCTGTTATGATTTCATTTCAGACATTTAATTTTGAGAATTTTAACCTAAATGATCAGAATATGGAGATGGATGATGATGATTTAAATTTGAAACGGTGAGAAGAATATCAATTTTCAACTTCAATATATTTTTATTGTCAAACAGTTGTGAATCACTTGCAACCAAATTTAACATGAATTATGTGATTTCGATTTCATATCATCATACAATTTTTTCATATTTCATCTAAATTTGATGCAATTACCTCTATGAAATTCTTAGATTTTGTATGATTTTCAGCAAAACCTCTATAAAAACCTCATGTTATCAAGATGGTTGAAATATTTGTATAAATGTTACTATATCTGATTATATTTATAGAGTGATGTACTTACTACAGAAAGATTCAGTGAAAGAGAATGCTTTATATTTATATGGTTTTGCTTGTTGTGTAAGTCTTTCTTGTTCATTATCTTGTACAAACATCTTAGGGCCACTAGACTGATGAGTGGGGGATTCATGGAATCAACAGAACATTTAATAAAACAGAGTTGAGAATGTGTTTCACATGTGCTGAAAAAATAGTTGCAGACAGTATTGAAAATGGAAGAGAAAGGAATAGAAATGAAAAATTTTGAATGTAACATAATCTGGTTCTGTACTGTTTCTATTGAGGCCAAAGTAAATGATTCACTGTTTTGGGTTTGTTTCCAGAATAAAACTAATGTAACAAATCTATGTAAAGCTCGAGCCTTGTTATGTTTGTTAAAGATAGTAGATGAAAAAACTATTCATGATGAACTTGGAATCTCAGTAGAAGATATAAGGTATGGTCATTAATAATTTCCATAACATAATTCTTATACCTAAATTTATGTAAATAAACAAAAAAGTTGAGCCCCAGCATATAAAAAGATCTTGCAGTCAAGGTATAAGGTAAAGGTCGTCATAGCTTGATATTGTGAAGATAGGATGTTATATGATTTTGAAGATACAATTTATTTTTTGGCTTTCCCAGGACATGAATTTGTATCTCATGAAAAATAAGTAATTACAGGAATAAAAAGAAATCTCAAACTTTCCCTGAATAATTCAAAACAAGAAATCCAAACTTTGATTCCCATGAAAATACAATAAATACACTAATAAATATATTTAATGTTTTAGACATGATTTACAAATAAGAAGTTATCTAATAGATTTAGATGAATTACATATTCAACATTCAGAGAAAACATTTGGAGAATGTAATAAAGAAGGCTTGGTCAGGGGAATCTGGAAAAACCATAGCCATCAGAGAAAGGTAGGTTTTTCTTTAACTCACTCTGCATCTGATATGATTAGAGAGTTCATATAGCTAATATTTCATATTTTGTATTAAAAATAGATCTGCATTGAGACAAGAATTTAATTAGAAAATAAGGTTGTTTGCTTGATAGGTAATTGAGCCTGTTAATATAAACTGAATACAATATATTTTATTATTATTATTTTTTAGGGTATCCTTTTGACATGTGCGTTATGTTTGGACTATAAAATATATGATGTTAATTTATGGAATGGAATCCTGAAACAGTTACTCTCCTTGAATTGTGTAAGTTTTCTATATATTCTTACTTGTTTACCACAAAACTACAGACAGACTATTGTGACAAGGTTGACCATTTCTATAAATAAATATTACTCCTTAGAATGAACATAAATGTCTCAAACTTGGTTAACAAGTGTATATATTCATCAGTTGGACTCACCAGTTGCCATGACTAAAGAATATAATCTCTTTAGAAGGCGATATATCCATTAAACTAAGTAACTATTGAAACACGCTTCTAAACACGTTTCAAAATTAGTTAGTCCACTGGTGAGAGGTAGTGTACCTTTAAACAGTTTTCAAAGAAGCTACTATTGATATATTATGACCTTTGAGATCAGTGTCCATTCTAGTTAACAAAGCCTCTTTTATAGCTAAATAGCTAAACCAAACAACATTTTTTTTCATGGATATTTACACTTTTATGTGGCTTGTGATTCACAGATTTCTTAGTTTTTTTTTTATTTCTCAATGTTATATAGCAGTGCCAGTCTTGAATTCTTCAATAATTTCAATTGTTCAATATTTGTTGTTTTGTTGTTACAGTTAAAACAGTTAGAGTATGTACTAGTAAGACTATCAGCTTCACCTAATATCTGGCTAGTAACAAACTATGCTAAAGCTTGGCAACATCTACTTACTGCTCCTCTTAGTAAAGGTAGATATTATTGTTTGTCTTTTTAATGTAACAAATAAACATTAATTTTATAAATTATCAATAGATACATTATCTATGTTTGCTTGACAATATCAATATTTTGGGTATATTTTCAGTTTCCACACCTCTAGATGAGAGTAAAACAGAAGAATGCCTACATTACTTTAATCTTCTTCATAAGTAAGTGTTTGTAAGGGTAATATTCTTCATAAGTAAGTGTTTGAAAGGGTAATTTTCTTCTTAAGTAAGTGTTTGTAAGGGTAATATTCTTCATAAGTAAGTGTTTGTAAGGGTAATATTCTTCAGAAGTAAGTGTTTGTAAGGGTAATATTCTTCAGAAGTAAGTGTTTGTAAGGGTAATATTCTTCATAAGTAATTTGTAAGGGTAATATTCTTCATAATTTAGTGTTTGTAAGGGTAGTGTGTGTACTTTCAGACAAAATAGTCCAATGTAATACAGAAGAGTAGGATATTAAACTTCATTTGAATTGTGGGATATAAAAGTAATTAATATTTACAGGTGTCCAGTAATTGATTGTTTAAATCTATCTCAGTTAGCTAGACAATATGAGAATCTAGGACTAGAAGTTTGTAGTGCAGGTTGTTTATTATTATCTACTAGTTCTCATACTCAAGATGTCCAGGTTTGTAGTTTATATTTTACATGGTAATGTTCTTTTAATGGAGGTTGAACACATTTTGTGGTTTTCTGGCAGTTACTAATACTATTGTTCTGGCAAACCTTCCCTCATTGCTGAACTCCATTCAGTCTATTTTCATTTCATTCCTGGTGGAGTTACATTATTGTACACTGTATGCATCTGCAAACAAAATTGATTGTGTATTTATGTAGTTTGTTTTGGAATATATTTTCAGGAATTATTGTCTGATAATAAAACAGAATCAATAAAAAGTTTAGAATCTCTGACCAACTTGGGTATGACTAATATAGCAGTAACACAGGTAATATTGTTTATTTTTCACCAGCCATATGACTCTAATATGATCTTTGTTCAGAGATGGCAGAGAAGGAAATAGATGGGAAAATTTTGAATGTGACAACCAGTTACATTAAGGTTCGATTGTATGCAGAATGGGAACAGACAGACCCTGTTCAGAACTCTCCAATCAAGTGCCCATTGTCAAAGTATGGAACAATATTTTTATGTGGAATTACATTTTTTTTTTTTCATTGCAATCACCAGAATTTGATATATTTCTAATTATTTAGGTACAAGAGGCTATATTTTCTTTGATATTAAAAGATGAAGACTATGAAAATATCATTGACTCTACGCTAGCTAGACAGTTTGTAACATATATCATCCATCATGATAAAATCAATGGTCTACTACTCTTTGCTTTGAGAAATAAAAGGTTTGTACTTAATCTTTCATTAATTGGTAATAAATGATAATGTATTGGTTGACGACCATCTTAGTATTCAAACTGGTAATATATTTGCCCACAGTTATAAACCAATATTCACATACATTTTAAGCTGTACATGTATATAAATATAGTCTATTTACTTTACTACTTGATAGAGCTTAATTTCAGCTTTCAGTATAAATGTCTAAATCTAATCTAATGGAACTGTATAGTAGTCTTAATATTTTCAATTAATCTTTATTCTACCATAGAATATATCTGGCTTTTATAGTTTCAATTACTATTTGCTCTACCTTAATATAAAGTGGACATCTTGTGTATTACATTTTACGAGAAGCTGAAGCTGACTTATTGAAGATGAATTTATTATTATAGATTACAAGAAGCTGAAAGTTTTTTCAAGCTATATTTGAACAGTAAAAGGGATGTATATGATACATTAATAGATTATACAGGAACAAGTGGCTCAGATAATTTTCTCGAGGTTGGTAATACTTCATTAGTTTTCATTGTATCTTCTAGATAGTTATATAGAAATCACATTCTGTGTTTGGTTATGGATTATTCGGATGATTTTCTTCTTTTTATTTAAGTTCAAGTTAGATTGAAAAAGTTGATTAGCAATTAATCATACCAAGTTTTGATTTTGTCTAATCAATTTAAATTTTGATTGACAATTCATAAAAAAATCAGTAGCAATTCAATATGTTCTAGTTGAAGACTTCAGATCGATCTTGTCAAGGCTGTTAGTTCCTTTAGATTATATTAGTCTAATAATATTGTATATTTCTAGATTCGACAGATATTCTCACAAAGAATATACAATTTGATTGAATTCCCAGATCTTTAAGATATATGTTTTAATTTAAACATATTGAAATGGAAAAGTGACAAACTGTGATGTAATAACGCTTAAATTGGACATGTACGTGACAAGTTTTTGTGTTTTTATTTTCAGGCTTATCTTCAGTTACAAGGTGTGACTGGTTGATTGGTAAGATTTGTTTTATACCATCTTGGTTTATCCAAATTCTTCGGTTTCCTGCACATTAGCAGTTATCACAACCATGCTCACTTCGCTTACAGGCTCATTAAATAATAATAATGCACTTCAGAAGTAAACTTGAAAACATATAATCAATAACAGAAAACTTATTTTAGTTTCCAGTGATGTTACTCACGTCTCTAAAGACTTGACAAATAATGAAATTATTTTGTTAAAAAAAATTGTGAGTGAAGATCTTGGTTTTCCACAACCTTGTTCAATAATTGTGAAAAGAATCCATATATATTTGATACATGAGTAGTTATCTGAGTTTTCCACTAATATTACTCACTCTGCCTACAGGCTTGTCAAATAATGATATTATTTTGGTTGTATTAAAGCTCCCCATGTGATCTTACAGTGGAAACAGTTCATGTGTAATGATATCACTATCTTTGTTTACAGACGAAAATAATCATAATATTTTAGGCTAAACAAAAAGGCCCAGTGTTTTTTCCACTGCTATTACTGATTACCTACAGGCTTGTTGAATATAATGTTAAATTGTAAATGATATATTTATTATGTAGTATTTAATGTAATGATTAGTTTTTGTTAATACTCGTATCAAAATATAGTGCTATATCATATGTTAGGGCTATTCTCTTCATGTTATTTTGTCTATTGAGATGACGCCCAAAAACGTCCATAAGATACTCAAAACTTGTTTATTATTCTATTAATCAAATACAAAGCTAATTCACCCCCACCCCCCTTAAAAAACACAACCACAAGTGTCTTCTTGAAAATTTAATTGAATTAAATTGAAACAATTTTTAACAAACAAACAAAAAAGCTCAAAAGTTGTGAGAAAAACATTGGAAGATGTGAAATTGAATATCTATATAAATTGTGTAAAAGTGGATTAATTTAAATGAAATTATGGAATCAAACAAATTTGAAGGTAGTTATTCTTGGCAGTAAAATTCAAATGAATAAAAAAAATTCCAAATGGTTACTTTTTCCGTGTATATTTTACAACTGAGATCTTAAAAGGGAATTCTGATATTTGTTTTAGGTCGAAAAATTGTTTTTGCTCAAATCTATGAAATTTATACACCCTTAACTTATTTAAAAGTTTTAATTAAAAAAATCCTTCCTAAAAATTTCTAATGCCATAACTATTTTTAAAGGTTAAAGTAAACTTAATAAATTTGTTATGCTTTTTGGTTGGTGTAAGAAAACTAATGTACAGATTTAAACAAAATAAGCTCCAAACATGTCTTATTCTGCTTATTCTTGTACACTATTTTTAATTAACCCTTTTAAAATGAATTCAGTTTGATCAAGTAGATACATAGTAGTAAATTGTATATTATGGAAATATTTTAAGGTATAATTTCGGAGGTTTTTGATAATGAAAATTTTTCATACTACTTTTTAAGATACATTCAACTGCATGTTTTGATAGGTTTAATGAACAATTCAACTGTAATAGCCAATCAAGATATTGTTTAAATCAGATAGTTACGGAAATAACTCTGTGACATTTGTCTGTATTGGTAGATAAGAAAAGGATAAAAAAAAGAAAGTCCTTGCATAATGAAATAATCAATAAACTAATGGTGTAAAAATCTGTACATATTTACAATATAAGAATAATAATAATATCCAGATACCCCAGTTACTTTTTTAAAAATTGAAATGAAATTGAAACTGTCAAGTCTTTCAGGGGGGGGACAATAAATAGAATGTAGCAGACTGTGTATTCTCAACAATCTCATCACACTACACAGCATTACATGCCTTCATTTCATTATAGTTGATTCTCCTTTAAAAGGTTGATAAGTAACTGGTCCATCTATATAACAAACTAAATAACTTTATCACAGCCAAATTCACAAACCTTCTATATTTTATCCCTCTTTGTCACTTTGTGACATTATCTGTCTACATTATTTAATGTAAATCACCCACTCTTATTCCAATTTCTTGTATTCAAGGCTTTTAAAAAACTAACTGCCTTATTCACATTGTTTCATTGTCTCTTCCTAATGGTCCACTTTCACTTTCTTCTTAAATCCATAAGAGTAAACTGGCTTAAACCCATCCAAAACGCATTAGAAACGAATGACGATATGCACATTCTTTCATAGTGGTCCTACATTATTGTTTCATTTAACCACAAAGAGAAGACTTGATTAATACACTCATCCAAAACGCAATCCATCCAACCAACGAGTCCATCAATATACATCATTAATTCCTCTCTTAACATAGTATCGAAGCTAGACCCAAAATCATATACCAAAACTTCTCACTAGTATGGAATTTAACATGCTGTCGTGTAACTATAAGAGATTATAGTATCTTTTTAAAAGCTCTATCAAGCTTAAAGCTAAAAAGTACATCTAATTTATAAAAAGTGAAATTTTTCCATCAAGAAACTTTAATTCATAGTGGGTAAGGGTTGATTGTTAAGATTTCATTTTTATAATGTTAAATGAGTGCTGAATGTTTCCACTTAATGAGTGAAACTGAAAAATATATCACCTTCAGAAGCTTAAAGCTAGAAAATGGTTCCCAAATAAAAGTATATAAACATTAGATGAGTTTTTAAAAGCTTAAAGTACATCCTCTAGTAGTGAAAGGAACTGAAATTAAAATCAGCTTTCAGAAGCGTAAAGCTGGAACATAGAACTCAAATGAAGAAAGCTATATAAAATATAACTAGCTTTCAGCATTCAAATAAAAACACTAGGTTCAGGATTTAGTTTTAAATTTGCATAATGTATCTTGGTATCGTTCACGTTAACATCATTTTTCCTAATTCACTAAAGTCACATCACACTGCACGCCCCACTTTTCATATCGTCGCCATGTTTTAACATGGAAAGTTTCGATAAATTACCATTAGCTATACTCTGTTTCCGCGCTGCGTGGCGAACTATTTTGTCCTTAGAACGGAATTTATAACTATCTTTCGAATTTCGCGGTTCACCATTTCTGAAACTATCTTCTTCAAAGGAAACAAAGGATCGCAAAGATGCCGACCCCTCAGTTTTAAGAAGAGCTTTAACATCGAGAGTCTGTGAGCTGCCTTGATGAGACATGGGGGTACCGGGTATCTCTGGTAATTTTAACGTCCCGTTGGTCGAGCCGGGCGATCCTATATCCGATTTGCTTCCGTCCTTCGTGGATAATTGAGAATCCGGGGATCCTCGTAAACTTCGTCTAGATTCATGAGAATCCTGGCTGATGTGGGAGTCCTGACTGTTTCTGGGAGACAGATCACGTGGACCTATACCTGAATCCTGACTAGAATCCCGATTGATAATAGAATCCTGACTCGCCTCCCTGACAAGGTGAAATTTATCCAGAGTTAAATGATTGTTGTTGTTATTATTTGTATTGGAATGTATCGCGTCCATCTTATTTTCCATTTGTCGAATTTCAGATAACGCAATCTCCAGTTTCATTTCTAAACTTTTAATCTTTTTATCTTTCTCATGAAACTGATCTTCGTTTTCTTTAACCTGAAACCATTAGAATAAGAATAATTGTATTTAAGAACGTGGGCTTAATTAAGAATAGTTATAATATATTTTATTTTAAAGCCGGATTTTTGTGTTACTCATGAAAATAAAAAACAATTACTCAAGAAAATGCTCTGTTTCCAGAATACTTAGGATCGTCTGAACAACATTTTTCAACGAATGATATCAAAAATATATATATTCTGTTTGTTCTACCACTCGGTCAGCTTGTAAAGCAAATATTAAGACGATTATGTCCCAAAGTTACAGACCGAAGTTTTAAGATTCCAAACTAAACCTACCTTTTCATTGAGTTTTTGAATCAGAATATCTTTACCAACTAGAGCTGAAGCTGTAGTAGCGAGCTCGGTACGATATTTCTGTACTGTATTTTCCAGGACTTGTTGTTTATCTAACATGTTTCTCTTCGTTGCCTCCCTACAATACATACATGATATATAAAGAGATAAAAAAAAATACATGGTAAAACACCAGAAGGCTTGCTTTGCTGAATAATCTCCTCGTCTCCCATCTATCTGAATGGAAGCTGTTGGCAATTAAAATTAAAACAAATTATCTGATTAAAAATGGAAGATTTCTCAGAACTGGATATCTGTTTGTTAGTACATTTATCTTAATGAGACAGACAGGACCACCTAAAATTGTGTTAAAACAGATAAGATGTGCAGGGATAAAATGTGCAATTTCTAGACGAAGAGTTACTGAACAGCATTCCTTGATAGAGGGGAAAGTGCTACAGGAAAAAACCGAGAGATCGGTGCATTTATTTGATGTTTTAAGATAAATGTGCATGACACAATTACATTTTATAAGATGTGCAAGAAATAAACAATGGTGTGCTCAAAGACTTCAGATGTGAAACACACTTCCTTAGTGTTATTGGGAGTGCAAATGCTCCTACAAAATGTGGGATGCAAGAAAGAAATGTGGAAATGTAAGGAAAATGCGACCATGTTTCTGTACTAGTGCTCTTAGAAGAGGTGCAAGGTAAAGAGAATGTGGTTTGCTGGAGTGTGCCATTATGTGAGAGATCTTACCAATCAGTGTTAGTATTAGGTCTGGAGTAACGCCTATATTAAAAGTTAGTAATATCAGTTTTAAACATTTGAAAAGTAAAAGAAGATTCTAAGGAACACGGTTGGGTTGATAATAAAATAAAATATTTAAAAACGATGTTAATAATGATTAATTTTTCAAATGACTGGAACACTATATTCATCCGTTTTCAGATTGGTCGGTTGCAGCTTTCAAACGCCAAGACCGAAGGAACGACCCATTTTTGTCAAAACGTGGTTTGAGCAATTCTTCAGTCGTCGGTTTACGCAGTTGCAGGCAGTCGTTGAAAATACATTGCCCTCCGATTATGCCATAGTTCTGCTAGCACTATGCAACAGATTCAGCTTTATGGACACTGCCGAGGATTCCCTGTCGCAAGGTCGACCATGAGGCTCCATGTTCCTTGTTCTATATGGCAAAGACTAGTATAAAGTTAGTATAGTAATGCTTTCAGATAGAAATTTTCATTGAAGTCGATGTGATCTTTTACTTACCAGTTTTCCTTGGCTCTCTCAGAAGCAGTACTAGTATCAATTCCCTCTTTCTCCATTTCATCTTTCGTTTCTTCAATTTCTATTTTCAAATTGTTTAATTCCTGTTAGAGAAATACTTTTTGGTTTGAAAATTGTTCAACACTTCAAATCTGTGAACCCTTCCATGGAGTACTTGCAACTGATATTATATTAAACATTTCTGAATTAAGAGTTCACATGACTACTCAGTCCAAGTATCTGATAATGTTAAGCCAATTTGTTTTTTTGTTTTTTTTTCAACTTGGCATCCCTTTCTGAAAGTCCACATTTCTGATCTTTGTTATTAAGGGTGATAGTGTGTATTTCCCTTTCAACTTCTTCAACTTGGCATCTCTGAGAAATAAGCATAAATTTGAAGCCATGACTGTTTTTTAGGGTCCGAATATTGATCTGTATGTCATGAAACCTCAATAATTGCTAGTGTATTGATCGAGGTTGAGAACATATTGATCATGGGGATCGTTATCGGATGAATTCTCAGAACTACATTATCAGCCTATGCTCTTATAGATCTGATAAACTGACACTTACTTCATCAAAGCTATTAAGAGCTGCTTGTCTCCGATCACAGATAGCTTGCCGGTGTCTTAACATCAACTCTATATCTTGTATCTGAAGAAAGACATTATGGACTTTCGATTCTTTGGTTATTAATGTTTACACCAATTTATCCAAACAACACTCTTGGCTATCCTAAAGAGTACTCAAACCATGGGTTGTGAGCTTTTAAAACAATCAAATGAGGACTTAAATGCATTCTAACCCTTAGATTATTATGACATCCAGTATCCATTTGAAGTTATAAATCCTATTATTCAATCAATATTAAAAAATCACTTTATTTCAATGCTTGGTATGATATTGCAATACTGTATGTACAATGGTAAAACAAACGCAGAAAAACTTTTATGACTTTGAATATTTTCCATCTAATGTTAAAAATAATATGGCTAGGTAATAGGGCTACTGCAAATTGTGCAAGGGTTATTCCTTTGATGATTGTGCGAAATGCAGAATTTCTTTTATAACTATTGCTTTATTAAGCCAATGTTAACAAATATCGAATATTTTAATGCGTGGTCTAAAACTAGACTATATCATACAAATAAATAATGTTCCATGGGAAATATCTGAAGACTTTTATTTACTCAAAACATTTTTACCTCGTGTTCAAAATCCTCTAAATATTTTTGTTTCTTTTCTATCTCTTCCTCCCGATTCAATAATTCCGTTTCCTTATCTAGAATGACTTGTTTATGCTGTAAATATTCCATGCTTTCAGCCAGACCCTGTAATTCCGATTCCAACTCCATTTCTCCATTGGAAGTCCTGCATCAAACAAAAGAACAATCATTTATGGAATTTTTTCCATCTTGAAACATTCTATGATGTGCATGAATTTTTTATGTTTTTCTATTGTGAGAAGAACAAAAGAATTGAAGATGAGTTACATGATTAAAGGGGAACGTTTAGCTATTTCAGATCTCAATTTTGTTTCGTGTTGTGGTGAAAGGTGTACATAATGATTTCCAACCATAAAACCATATGCGAAGATAAGAGAAATGTGGGTGTCAGAGACTAGAATAATAGAATGAATCTCAAATGGACCACATTTACAGTCTGTTGGTGAAAGGAATGTTGTCAAGCTATAACCTTACCATGTTCCTTTAACAACGGTACGATGTTATCCATAGCTAGCATGTAACCTTACTGACTTCCACGTGGTACGAACTAAAAGGCACCGAAAAACAGAAGACATAACTTACCTATCAGACAATTGGTTTAAACAACGCTTTCTGTGTTTCTCCACCGCTTTCTTCTGTTTCTCTATCTGAATTTAAAAATCAAAATTCCACTAATAAATCGATAAGGGTTATGATGACTTCATATTCAAATATGTTTGGAATTTTCAAGGAATATATGTAAGTCTAGAGATAGCCCATAGTGCAATATATCTGTACCATAAAAACTTTTGGTATTTCTCATCACTATATTTGAAAATATCCTTAGGTTATTTATATTTCTTGGTCCAACAGAAGTGAAAAGCGACGCAAGTGCAAAAGGAGAATCAAAACCGAAATTATACAAAGATTATCCTACAACACACAGTACACTCAATTCCTTTATATTATATCCGTTTCAGATTTATTTCTGTCGGCAAGGACATTTAATAAGACAGTAGACCTAGAATAGATCCAAAAATAATATATACACCCAAAGAAGAACATATTAGCGTACTTTTGTCAAAATGCCCCGAGTCTTAACGTTTATTGTAATACATTGCTATACACATCTTCATGTGTCATTCCTATTTCCGCATGGCACTGTACTAAAAGAATAGTTTGAAGTTATGTAACGCTTCCAGAACGACCTTATAAAGATCATGGAATGTAGTATTAAGATTCGTAACATTGATATAATGCATTGCATTAAAGTCTGTCTTCTGGAAAGACTCTCAGCTTTGATATGAACAATTCTTCCAACAACTCCAAGCATTGACTTCTTTGAGGTAAATATGATTTCCAGACAAGCTTAATATTTATGGTACGGGTACATCCTTAAAGAAACACAGTTAATTTCAAAAACACGTCAATGGTAGTCCAATTGTTGTGAAATACAACATCTTTTAAGAATCACACTTATGGAAACAGTTGAAGTTATGGACCGAACTAGAAAGAAACCGTGTGTGGTAGGATATTACATAATAAATATGTCGACTATAACGGCCAGATTATTATCAACAATATGAAGTGTGGAATGATGATTGATAATGTATATTGAGACCAGGTTTAACATGTTTTTTCTGGAATAATTAGAGACATAAATACACGAGATTGACGAAGTAATCAGCTGGAATATTTATAAATTCTTCTCAATCTGGACCCCCATACTTTTCAACTTGTCGATAACCCGTAAATATTATTAACGGAAATTGTTGTCAACTTTTTTATAATTTAATGCGTTTGACTTTGTTAATGGTGACATTGACTTTTGAATATGACATTGACTTTGGATAAGATACTGGGTTTAGATTGACTATGGATATGACATTGGCTTCCGAAAAAATATTGACGATTTTATGACATTGACTTTGGAAATGATATAATATATTATATCTTAATTGACCTTGAAACATGATACTGACTTAAAATATAGCATTGACTTTGGATATGACATGATTTCGTTGCTTATGTCAAGTACTTTTCAAAATCATGATGTCTACCATAATTCAATTGAAATGAGATACTTCCTATCGTGGCAGGTCGACTATGTCTGTAATTTAATTTATTATATGTAGTAAATTTAAAAGAAATGGATATAAAGTAGAGTTTGTCCTATCTAATTGTGGATTAATCAGATTAAATAGTCTACATCATCCATCATTGTCTTGTATTAGATGGTAATAATTTAACGGCTCAATTTATTTCTTGAGATATAGATATAACTGCATAACATGCACCGTGACATAACCGTATGCAAAGGCATCTTCACAATCGCAAGCTATTTCGAACATCGTCTTATAGATAGACTACAATAGCGACCTTTCTTGTATCACAGTAAGCAACGACTTGATTGGATTGTACGCCAGCGAATACAGCCAATCGGAACTATCAATATAAAAAAAAAACATTTTGGCATATGTTTACAGTCTTCCTGTCGAGGACTCGGATTAGATGTATTCCCAAACACACAAAAATCGCTACATTTACAAACTTCCGTGATACAAGAAAGTTGAGTATTGTAGTCAAGGTATATGACGTCGTAATAGTTGACATTGTGAAGAGCAAAAGAGAACACCCATAAAAGAACATTGAACAAATCAGTTGACCGCTCAATAAGCTGTCATATGACAGTAGGCGTATATGCGTTGTATAACTACATGAAACCACCGTGTCCAAATTTCAATTTTTTTTCCCATTCAAGATCTTTCAGAATGCCAGGCGAAAGCAATAAGCGTTCTCTGATCGGTGCAAACTATTGTAATTATCAAGAGGCAACGAATAGAAAAATCAAGTTAACTTTGGAACGCTTTACCCCTATCGTTTAAGTTATCTTCATAATTACAACAGTTTTCGGCATAAGAAGAACTAGAGAAGGAACTCGTGACCCTTACAGAATAACTGTTTTTACTGTCAAATTTCAGCTACTGGTTTGCTTTGAAAAGTGTAGAATGATCCCTTCCCGATAGCCATATGGGTAGGGTTGTTTGTTTAACGATTGAGGTACCGCTTATGAGTTTCAAAATGTACTTTAAAAGTTCAAGACATCATTATTATGACAACGTATCATTAAACCTTTAATGGTAATAATCAGTTAAGAATGAATGGATAAGTCAGTCTAGAATAGGTGCTAGTTTGATTGATTAGTACTCTTACTGTCGCTATTTACAGACACTTAACCGATTTACCTGTCTCTTTTCTATGTAATAAGCTTAACTCTGACTGTTTCTCCATAGCCATTCGACTTTTGTCTGGTTTTAACTGAAAAGTGTAGGCTTGTTGTCCTATGTCAGAAATATATTGACCTCAAGTCGATGTTGACGTATTTAGGCACTGTTATTATACGTGAGTTGAAATAACCATTCCTTATTTTTTAAATTTACTTAATAGAATGACAAGTCTGAAACATACACTATTGGAGCAATTCTTAGCATCATGTGCCAATCTAAATCAACAATTACTGAAAATGAGAACAAATGAGCGTTTATCAATAAATAATGGAGTTTATGTTATGATAAAGCTTCATTAGCCTTTCGGGTCTCGTGTTCTCTCTCTTAAAGGAAAGGTTGCTATCGCAGTCAAGGTATAAGACGAAGTTCGTAATAGCTTGACATATTATGATATTCTCGCTCAGGTCAAATCTGTAGGGGTAGGTTCAAACCAGCTAAAGCACGAAATTCGTCTTTATTTGCTAGCATGATGGAGTAGCGTCTTGTCTGACTTCTTTGGTCAAACCAGTTTTGGCGATGATCTCATTTGAATTACGTGTAACTATCCTGTAGCTAGGTCGACTAGAATTATACCCAAATTATACAAGGAGTTGCTTTAAGTAATTTTAGCGTAATTAAAGCATGATAGCTTTAAGATGTACAAGTCTTCTACAGGAGGTCGAATATTGCACAAATGTGGTCGGGATATTCAGATGAATAGATATTGAACATAAAGAAGTTGGTGAAGGTAAAAGCGATGGGTTCCACATCCTTTTGACTAATAGTTGGTTTACCTTAGTTTCAGAAACAGGATTTTTTTATACGCCCACATTATAATGTGGTCGTATATTGTCGACGCCCCTGTCTGTCTGTCCGTCCGTCCGTCGGTACGTCCGTCCACAATTGGCTTATGAACCATTAGAGACAACAGTTTTTATCTGAATTGAATGAAATTTGGTGTGATCATTTATATTCTTGGTCAAGTTCGAATTTGACGATCTTTCGATGAACGGTGTTTGAGTGATTGCCCTTGACTTATGAGAAATGCTTCAAAATTTGGCTGTGAATACAATAGAGACTACAGGTTTCGTCCAATTTAAATTTGATGTGAATATTTTATAATGATGAGATCTTGGACAGGTTCGAATTTGGCTATCTTTCGATGAACGGTTTTTGAGTTATTGCCCGTGACTTAATCAAAATTTGTTGGCGATAGAGGTGACAGTTTATATCAGAATTTTATAGTCATACGGGTTTGTTTAAATCAACAATATCTTGCACAAATAAGATTTTTGATATGATTTGACACAGATATACTGAAAATGTATCAGGAAAGTGGGCGTATCTTGCTAGGCAACCACTTGTTTAGCTTAAGGTCGGAATTTAAGCCTTGACATCCATGATTGTACAGAAGTATCCGTGTTTGAAAGATAAAATGACGATTCGTTTTTCTTGATGCTCCTCGATATATAGAACGAAAAAGTGAAATTTTTCATTTGAGAATATTTGAGAGGATTATGCTATTTTCGTGCAGTTCTAGTAATATGGATGGCTATTTACATATTTATATTCAAGACAAAAATGAATACACTGAAATAGGTGAAGTATGTTATGGCCTTTAAAACATGACTTTCAGCCGCTCTAATTCTTTACAATTCATGTAATAACTTTTGAGTTACAGGAATTTTGTGTCTTGGTTCCTTCCTATTTATAGAGTCGATATCTATTAAAATAAAAACCTCACGAAATGTTGGAAATTATTTTCTTAGAATCAATAATCGACAAATAAAATGTGTTGTTTTTGCAACATCTGTTTTTATTACGTGACGATAGTACCATGGAAGAGAGGTGTGTTACAATCGGGTTAAATTAGAAGTATGTACCATTTCAAAAAAAAACAATAAAAAAATGGTTTATGGATCTTTGTTAATATTGTGGAAGTACAGTAATTGTGGGGTAATTCTTATTTTGAAAATTACACAGTCCGAATTTAGAAATAATCTTTTAGCGTCATTTATGGGTAGAGACCATTTCAATAATGAATATAAATAGAGAATATTTCAACGATCTGCATTGCCATCATCTGATCGTTTCACCAGATGATGACAATGTATAGATTGTTGATACAATAAAACTCAGGAGAAGTATACCAAAAATTGTGTTTCGTTATTTAATGATTTTAGAAATGGTTTACCGTTAGCTTGGCTACTCGACGCCACATTACAACCTTGATAATAAGTAGGCCTATATGTTATAAAAATGACTGGTAAATTGGCGGACAGTGCCACTTTAAAACGAATCTATTGTAGAATGTTATATTTAATGTGTGTATTATAGCTGGATTATAAGCAGTATTTGTCAAGCGATTGTGTTAAATTGATTGCCTCAAATTTTCTACATGACTGTGATTTTATTGGCGATTCAAGAATTTTTTTTCTATAGAAGGGATATAGTGGTCTTCCAGCTACGCGTAACTCTTTTTAGAATATGAACCCGACTTTAGGATTGGCAACAAAACAAAACAGGCATGGTAAATGTTGATGAAGCTGCTTAATGAGCTGTATAATGCTTTGAGTTGAAGTTTTGGTTGCTCTTGGGAGTTCAAAGAGCAAAAAACCATCAAGTGGTGTCACTCAAGCCCATGTTCGCGATTTTGGGCATGGGAAAGACGATCAACACCCTCTTACTGACATCTGATCTATGTAAATCTATCTCAGCCAATAATTAGACGACCCTATCTCTTTATCCAGGAACTATATTACTATCAATATTGTTTCAGATCTTCATACCCACCCACAGTTCTGTCATTAATTCAGCCAGATTAGATGATGTGAATAGTAGGTTTTGAGTTGCCACATGTACATATTAAAACAACAGTGCGTCCTGGGAGAAGGACATACCCGAGAAACGTTGTTTCTCAACAAGAGTCATATTGATTATTGACAGGTTATTATTCGGGGGTATGGCATAAGTTCACGGGCCCCCACTCACCTAGTTGAGCCACTGGTAACCAGAGATTGCGACAGCATCTGAGGAGTATGCTATTTCTAAAGGTTGGGACCCAAGGCTGCAGTATAAAGGCTACATAAATAAAACGTGCCATTACGACTTCACTTACCTGTTTAAGGCACATAATTCTAAAGTCTTCAGTTTCGTGTCGAAGTCGTAGGATTTCTTCTCGAAACATCCGTCTGCATTCCAACACTGTTTCTTGTTTATCAGGCTGAAGCAGAATTAGATTATCTTCATTGGTGAAGGTGATACAGATCCAAAGGCCTTAATACACTGACATTTTTTTCTAGTGCCGGAATATAAAGAAAGTTTCTTCTGCTAAATATTGTATTAGGCACTTATTCCCACAGATAACTATTGACAGGACGATGCAATTTAATACGTTTTGAAAAATATCTCCCCCTTAAAGTCTTCGCCCCAAAATATCATACATGGAAACTCATTACTAAAGGCTGTGCTATTGTTAGAATTTTGTAATCAGCTTACTTCTGCTACTGCCCCCTCCCTTTCTCATGTAATGAGGAATATGGTTCACTGGAATCATTAACCATTCTCTTAAAAAAACAACCCTTATACATAATTTATTTTTATTTTCAATTGTTGGATTTGTTTCTATGGTAACATTTTAATAAATCTATCCACTATTTTATTATTTATACTTCAGTTTAACTTTCATTATCTAAAACTCGAGAAATGTTTCATTTTACGAAATACAAAAAAAAAACGGGAGAAAAAGATGACATAATAAACCAATTAGTATGGCACATAATGGTTCTTAAACAGTGGGAAACAAGGTTTATTATAAAATAAAAACTATTTTAATAAGACTTGCCAATAGAAACAAGGTGTGGTCTCTCAGACTAGGAACTGAGTTTCTATTATTTTATTATATTAATTAGCCGATATTGAACTCGCTGTAGAGAAAAAATTATAAAGTCAATGTTAGGCCTATAATTAGGGGTCTTTATATCATATTAAAGGAGCGCTTTTTCGGAATATTAGCCTTCATTGATTTTATTAGCCAAATCAGGTGCAGAAAAGTAGGTCTATATATTCTTGTCCATAGTAACTATTTATTCTAATTTAAAACATTGCATATTTTTATAGGCCATATAAATAATAAATTACTTGGTTTGGCTTTCAAAAATAACGCACGACCAGTTCTCCTCTTAGCTATGAGCAAAGTGTATCTTTGCTGATAACAGTGCATGTAAATAAAAATCTGGGAATCTTGAGTTAAGCTTATTAAGTAAGATTAAAGCCATCATGCTCTTGTGCAAAACATAATATTGAGTAGAAATTTATATTTTCGCCGAATAGTCTGTCCTTTCTACAACTTGTATTCGTTTACCTGGCCTTTGTCTTGGGATGTCAATGGTGGAAGAATAGCCGACTGAGCCTGTTCTTGATTTCGTTATAATGAGGATGAAATTGAACGTAATCAGAGCATGATAGCTTTAATGGCATTTGTAATCCTTTTGCGACATTTAGGGGTGGAGATCACATTAAAGAGCCGAATTACCAGATGATGTAGGTTGTTGAAACGTTTTGTACAATAAAACTAAGTATGCCATACAATTGTGTTCTGTTATTTCATGACATTTGTTATTAGTTATAGAGGTGGTTAATTCAGCGGTAAAATCCTTTGGGTTAGTTTCGGGATACCTGAAAACTGGCAACTATTATAGAAGGTTAGATGTACATTCAAGGCTCTACCTACTACATTTAGAAATCTATATACCTACCTTGACATTTTTTACAAGACTACTGAGAGTCTTAATGGAAGAACGACTATTTTTATAAGCACTTCTGATTTCACTTGAATCCTCCAGAAAGTTTGAAGGATCTGCTTCACTGTCAGAAGACACGTTTCCAGTCACACGATCACCGTCAAAAGCAGTTGAAGCAGCTCTAACATCACTTCCAGTCGAACTGCTCTTTTTAATAATTGACACAATATTTTTATCACAGTTATCACTATCACGATATGACGTCATTTCCGCCTCGTCGGATCGTCTGTCATCCATAAATGTTACACTTTTACTCCGAGGAGTTGGAAGAACTTTGTTCGTATCCGATCCTGTCCGTAAGTTGTCGGAAGATTCACTTTTCAAACGATCATTCGTGGACTGAGATCGGTAGTTAGCCCGTGGACTTGCATCAGGAGTGCATTCCATATCCTCGCTACTTTCTCCAGCCTTATGGCGAGTTTTCTTCTTAGATTTCCGCCGTTTTATCTGAAACATTTTAAAATCAAATTATTCAAAACTATAATGAAATATAGTTCTCTGTCATTGAACACGTGATGTCACACAGACACTGTAAGACCACACAGCTAATAATGTTTATTTGATAATTATGTTTTTCGACTCTGTATCCCTGTAACTTAGGTAAGCCTACAGTGTTAAGTACTTAAAGTCAAATCGGTATCCTTATAGCTTTATATTTTTATGAGCGATATTGAAGTACTTTGACCTTTCCGAAACTATTCTAACCATAAAAGAAAGCACCGTGGTTCCTTTCCCCGGCTAATTTCACTTTAAATAATAAGATGAATTATTTTTATAGGGATTGAGCAGGCAGGGGTCTGGAAAATAGTGGCACCCCCGGGGACGATCAGGAAATTCTAATCATGAGATGTTGTTCCACTCCAGTCAATCTAATTAGGAATGGTGGATATTTATTGTTTATTGTCCTGTCAGAGTGTCGGTCTGTCAGCTAGTTCTAATCAACTAAAGTGAGGCATGGCGTACTACAGAGTGGGGTAGACACCATACGATGCTCAAACTATTAACTCATGATGATTGAGAGTGGGGCATGAGATGTACTTTACTGACTAGTTCTTATCAAGTTAGGTGGGACACCATACGGTAGACACCATACGGTCAAAGAGAGATGTTAACTCGTGACGACTTAAAGTGAGCATGGATTTACTTTACTTACCAGGCTAGTTCTTATCAAGTTAGGTGGGACATGGTGTACTACAGAGTGGGTAGACAGCATACGGTCAAAGAGAGATGTTAACTCGTGACGACTTAAAGTGAGCATGGATTTACTTTACTTACCAGGCTAGTTCTTATCAAGTTAGGCGGGACATGGTGTACAACAGAGTGGGTAGACAGCATACGGTCAAAGAGAGATGTTAACTCGTGATGACTTAAAGTGAGCTTGGGATTTACTTTACTTACCAGGCTAGTTCTTATCAAGTTAGGTGGGACATGGTGTACAACAGAGTGGGTAGACAGCATACGGTCAAAGAGAGATGTTAACTCGTGATGACTTAAAGTGAGCGTGGATTTACTTTACTTACAAGGCTAGTTCTTATCAAGTAAGGTGGGACATGATGAACTACAGAGTGGGGTAGACACCATACGAGGACCACGGCTGTTCACTAATGATGATTGAAAGTGGGATGAATTTTGTAGGCTAACTAATGAGGGCATGGTGTACTTTACTTTGCTGGCTAGTTCTAATCAAGTAAAGAAGGGCATGGTGATTTTAAGTGGGGTACTTTGTTTTGGTTTCCTTGCTAGTTTATAATAAAATATCAACGAATCGTTTAAATGACTTCAGACACCTTAACCGTACATTTACACGATTCGAAAACGATGAATTATCAATGGTGTGTATAGACATAGGCAGCTGCATCAAACATTCACAAAATCCATAAATTATTGAGTAGCCCAGAGTGGAAATTGTCAGTTTGGATTATAAACGGCACATCAGAGAATTTCTGTTGTTATTGCAAATTTATAATTCATTATATTACATTTATTGCCTGTTAGATCAGAGTTAGATCAGAAGCACAAGCTTTTATCATTATTTCCACAGTTAAAGTTACATCGGCAATTCTAGTTGTCAAAATCATCATTATACCAACAAAAAAGAGTTGTCATTATCAGTATATTACCAGAAACTCTAGTTGTATAAAATAATCGTGTCAGACGCATACGATACAGCAACTAAAAATGTCAAAATCATTATGATACCATTAAATAGAGTTGTCAAAATCATTATGAAACCGTTAAATAGAGTTGTCAAAATCACTATGATGCCATTAAATAGAGTTGTCAAAATCATTATGATACCGTTAAATATAGTTGTCAAAATCATTATGATACCATTAAATAAAGTTGTCAAAATCATTATGATACCATTAAATAGAGTTGTCAAAATCATTATGATACCATTATCACACAGCAACTAAAGATGTCAAAATCATTATGGTACCATTACATAGAGTTGTCAAAATCATTCTGGTACCATTACATAGAGTTGTCAAAATCATTATGATATCATTAAATAGAGTTGTCAAAATCATTATGATATCATTAATTGAGTTGTCAAAATCATTATGATATCATTAAATAGGGTTGTCAAAATCATTATGATACAGCAACTAAAGATGTCAAAATCATTATGGTACCATTAAATAGAGTTGTCAGAATCATTATGATACCATTAAATAGATTTGTCAAAATCATTACGATACAGCAACTAAAGATGTCAAAATCATTATGATACCATTAAATAGAGTTGTCAAAATCATTATGATAACATTAAATAGAGTTGTCAAAATCACTATGATACCATTAAATAGAGTTGTCAAAATCATTATGATACCATTATGATACAGCAACTAAAGATGTCAAAGTCGTTATGGTACCATTAAATAGAGTTGTCAGAATCATTATGATACCATTAAATAGAGTTGTAACAATCATGACTAGCCTACTTTGGTGTATTTATATCCATGGTTTTCTTTCTTCAATCTCATGTCAATCGCACTTAGTTATGACACAAGCAAGGTGTATGTTTGGATGCTAAGCGCATCTTTGAGAGTCAACACTTGAAACATTCTTTATGCTTACCTCAAAAAATGAGTCTAATCTTGCTGTCCGCACCATTTGTCTTCTAAGTGTTTCTTTATAAGGCATTCCGACACCCTAGAAAATAAAACCCACTATAAATCAAACTTCAAAAGTCTTGTGCCATGACAATCTGCCTGTGTTCTGGACTTAAATTAGAACCCCTTCAGGCAACGATGAATGAATGAATGATCCCGCTAGCGATTATCTTCATCGCATAATAGAATATTTTCCAACTAGTATAGTTCATATACCGGCAACGTTGGATAAACGGTAGAATGAATAAATGAATGAATGATCTATCTAGCCTCTAATATACCTATTATCTATAATTCTACCACTGGGTAATATTGAACTGAAAATCACTGGATATAAAACCAATAGAATCAATATTATATAGTTAGAATTGGACACGGATAACCACTAGAATTAGTAGAGCGTGTGTAATAACCAGACAAGCAAAATACCACTGGTGCGGCGAATTATCGTAAACATCGATGGAATTTTTTTGGAAAATATATGGTTTGCTTGTTAGAAAATTAACGAAAAATAAGAAACACATTCATGTAATTTAATCCTCTAATTTCCCTCAAGATTAAACTTAGACTAGTTCTTTTTAACAAATTTTACTTCCGTAGGTGGATTTATACTTCTGATGCCGTCATCCGCCGTAATACGCTAGCATACGCTCTTGCTCGGCGGTTGCCAGCGTTCGTCAACGCATAGGTTTATACTATCCATGTCAGCGAGACGTGGATTGGTTGAAACATCGGCGTATTCGAATTCACGTCGTAAAAGTTCAACACGGTTAAACTCTTTAAAATGTAACGCCGACTTGCACCGTTATACGGCAAGTTCTTGCTGACGTGGATAGTATAAACCTATGCAATGACGAACGCCGCTGGCAACCGCCGACCGCGAGTGTATGCTAGCGTTTTACGGTGGTTGACGGCGTCCGAAGTGTAAATCCGCCTTTAACTGTGTTGAACTGGTGAGATACCATACATCTGCCCCACTGTGAAAATTGGTAGAATATTCAGGAAAGAGGGTAACTTATGGTTGCCATTCTCCTCTAATCATGTTATGATAATTGTTGTTTGTATCGACTGCATTACACCATGAATGACTGGATAACTATATCTACCAGAACCTTCATTAAGCCTAATGATAAATAGTTATTGATCAAGTCTAATCGCTATACACGGTTATTGTTTTATATCGGACCATTGATAATACCATAACAAACTATCTGTAGACAAATACCTGTGACAGGATCCATTAACTTCAAGGGCAAACTGTCATGTCGGCAGCAACCGATATATACACAAGTACACTATGGTATCGAAAACGCTGGAAATTTCATTTTATTTCAAATCGTAAGCTAGAAACAACTGGCATACGAGGCATAAAAACAGAATTATCACAGAGAAATCTTGCTTGAAAAATCTGAAGGACAAATTTAAACCGTCACAGACCGAAACATCTTAATTTATTTCAGCCTCTGAAAACTATCTCAGGCTGAGATCAGAGGCTGGAATTTAGGCAGCTGTTTCGGACTAGTGGGGACGATGTTCCAACCACAAAACAATGTTCAGTTGATCAACAATAACAAAAGTTGTATCGCATTAAAAAAAAGACGGCTGTCAATTTCTATTAGCTTTCAAAGAAAAATGCTTTTACACAAACTTAGTGATCTTAGTGGTTGTTGATCACAACGTTTCGGTTGACATACTGCTTTTTTTATTTCTTCTGGGCTGCCACTTATATTTTCTTTTCTTTCCTCTTGACATTTATTTTTTACAATGCCAAAATTATAAAATGCCAATTGAAGTAGAAGAAACATATTATAAATATTGAAATGTCAGTACATTTTTGTTTATGTAAGTGAATAACAATTACTAAGTCAAGTGTAATTTCTTCAAGATGTATTAAAGTAACCCATTCGTGTAATTCTAAATTTTTATTGAGTAATGGTAAACTAAGGTCGACTGGTGCAGGAAAGCATCTGAACAGACCCGTTCCTGTCGACTTAAACGAAACCTTATTAACCTGAAATTGACCGCTTACAAGCAACTGTGATCGACTGTTTAGTTCCATATTCTGCAAACATTACGGCTTATTTTTACAGACTTTCAATCGAAGATTCTGATTGACTGTATTCGCTAACGTATAATCCAATCAAATAGCTACATATTGTAGGTATTGTAGGCAAGGTATAAGACGAAGTTCGTTATAGTTCTACATTGAGAAGATAGTATGAGTGACGTGGTATACGACGATGGAACAGGGCCAAGGAGTAACAAGCTATTTTTCAATCACTGTAATAAATCAGTATTTAACGTAGAATTATTATCTAACCCTATTTATTCGACGTCTCTTTAACAATAACATTTGTTGATCATAATTGATCGCTTCTAATAAATTTTCATACAAACCCAACCAATTGGAAATTTAACAATTATTTCAACTATAGATAAAGGGATATAGCTCTATAAATTTCCTTTATGTGTATATGAGAGATTGCACACTATTCTTCATCTTCTGAAAGGGCGTAGAACTCCTTCTGGATTTGTTTTGTTGCAATCTGCATGTTTTTGAATTACAATAATACAATATTTTCACTGTAAAAATATTGCTGAATACATCAATTGTAAAGCAATAAAGAAACAGCACTGTTAAAATAATGTTCAATACATCAGCTGTAGAGCAATATAGAAACACCACTGTTAAAATAGTGCTCAATACATCAGCTGTAGAGCAATATAGAAACACCACTGTTAAAATAGTGCTCAATACATCAGCTGTAGAGCAATATAGAAACACCACTGTTAAAATAATGTTCAATAAATCAGCTGTAGAGCAATATAGAAACACCACTGTTAAAATAGTACTCACTACATCAATTATAAAGCAATAAAGAAATACTACTGTTAGAATAGTACTCAATACATCAATTGTAGAATGATATAGAAACCCCACTGTTAAAATAATGCTCAATACATCAATTGTAGAGGAATATAGAAACACCACTGTTGAAATAATGTTCAATACATCAACTGTAGAGCAATATAGAAACACCACTGTTAAAATAATGTTCAATACATCAGCTGTATAGCAATATAGAAACACCACTGTTAAAATAGTACTCACTACAACAATTATAAAGCAATAAAGAAATACTACTGTTAGAATAGTACTCAATACATCAATTGAAGAATGATATAGAAACCCCACTGTTAAAATAATGCTCAATACATCAATTGTAGAGCAATATAGAAACACCACTGTTAAAATAATGTTCAATACATCAACTGTAGAGCAATATAGAAACACCACTGTTAAAATAATGCTCAATACATCAATTGTAGAGCAATATAGAAACACCACTGTTAAAATAATGCTCAATACATCAATTGTAGAGCAATATAGAAACACCAGTTAAAATAATACTCAATACATAAATTGTAGAGCAATATAGAAACACCAGTTAAAATAATGCTCAATACATCAACTGTAGAGCAATATAGAAACACCAGTTAAAATAATGCTCAATACATCAATTGTAGAGCAATATAGAACACCACTGTTAAAAGAGTAATCAATACATCAACTGTAGAGCAAAATAGAAACACCACTGTTAAAATAATGTTCAATACATCAATTGTAGAGCAATATAGAAACCCCACTGTTAAAATAGTGCTCAATACATCAATTGTAGAGCAATATAGAAATGCCACTGTTAAAATAGTACTCAATACATCAATTGTAGAGCAATATAGAACACCACTGTTAAAAGAGTAATCAATACATCAACTGTAGAGCGATATAGAAACACCACTGTTAAAATAATGTTCAATATATCAGCTGTAGAGCAATATAGAAATACCACTGTTAAAATAGTGCTCAATACATCAATTGTAGAGCAATATAGAAACACCAGTTAAAATAATACTCAATACATCAGCTGTAGAGCAATATAGAAACACCAGTTAAAATAATACTCAATACATCAGCTGTAGAGCAATATAGAAGCACCAGTAAAAATAATGCTCAATACATCAATTGCCGAGCAATATAGAAACACCACTGTTAAAATAGTGCTCAATACATCAACTGTAGAGCAATATAGAAACACCAGTTAAAATAATGCTCAATACATCAACTGTAGAGCAATATAGAAACACCAGTTAAAATAATGCTCAATACGTCAACTGTAGAGCAATATAGAAACACCAGTTAAAATAATGCTCAATACATCAATTGTAGAGCAATATAGAACACCACTGTTAAAAGAGTAATCAATACATCAACTGTAGAGCAAAATAGAAACACCACTGTTAAAATAATGTTCAATACATCAGCTGTAGAGCAATACAGAAATACCACTGTTAAAATGGTGCTCAATACATCAACTGTAGAGAAATATAGAAACACCAGGTAAAATAATGCTCAATACATCAATTGTAGAGCAATATAGAACACCACTGTTAAAAGAATAATCAATACATCAACTGTAGAGCGATATAGAAACACCACTGTTAAAATAGTGTTCAATACATCAGCTGTAGAGCAATATAAACACCACTGTTAAAATACTCAATACATCAATATTGTATAGCAATATATAAATAAAACAGAAAGACTGACCTATTTCATCTTGCGTCCCTACTGAAGTTAGACAAGTAAAATTTATTTCAATGTCTACACTTTTATCACCAAAAAGACTAGAAATCCACGAAACCGAAGTTGTTGTCTTTGTAAATAAGTAATTCTGTCATCAATCAACAACAAAACATGGAATTTCGAAAAGAAATCAGAACAGGCCATTCAGATGGAACTAATTGTTATTCTCCAGTTTTTCAATCTAATTAGACCTTCATTAGTTTCTTACTATATAATTAATAGAAAAGAATAATTACTGAAAATCTATAATTATTTAGATTGGTTTCTGTGTAATAACCATCAATGTCATTAAACTGTTTAAGAAATTCAAAAAAGACTATATTTTTCATATCAGCCAATTTTCATCTATTTTCCGCAATGATTTTTGAATTTGTTGAATAATTTTA